AAAGTTATTGAGCACTATTACTAAACCCATTTCATTCCCTCTTACATTGGCCTCTCTTAGTCTTTGAAGATTATCTAATGCACAAAGATACAGTATTTTTGTCCCATTTTATTTATCTTTTATTTAAAAGACTACCCGACCATTAAAAACTATGAAAGTACTTTTGGTATTAAATATTATAACTCTGTTATTCAATTGGCCTTTTAAGTTACATTTTTATTTAAAGTGATTAACTAACTATTATAGTGAATAGCAAAGGGGATTAACTAACTATCATAGGTGAATAGCAAAGGGGAATAACTTCTTTCAGTAGAATGAAAATTAACAAATTGACCAAGTGGTATAGCATTTCAAAATCTGGTAAAAACACCCTTGCTTATTACAATTTTATATACTCTGTTTGCCTCCTAGATGCTCAGGAGCAGAGAAGATTTTCAAAGAAACCCATTTTCACATTAGATTCAACATAGCCCGTCCCCAATACCACAGCCCCTGACCCAGGAGCCAAGAAATTCCCATTTTTGGAAGAGGTACCCTTGCTCATCATAACCATGCACTTAGTATAATAACAAATTGCAGAGAAGAGGGTTCTCAAAGAAATGATGCACTTTATTCAAAAGAGCCCCACCTTTTACTCCAAAACCCCTGACCAGGGGGTTTCAATATGATGTGCGATTTTATCGGTATACCGGTATATCGTGATTTTTAATTGCGTGATACGTATCGTGATACGGAGACTAAAATACCGGTATTTAGGTACATAGTTATATATTCCAGAAATTATTCATTTATTTGTTCAATCTTTCAAATTACAATTACAGGAAGTGTAAAAAAAAAATGTTGAAAACGGCATGATATTTTGGGGGAAAATCGAATATTTTGGCACTACCCATCCCTAGGTTTCAAATTTTAAAATTTTTGAAAAGACATCCTTGCTCATCATAACCATGAATAGTTTTGCTGTTAAAGTCTGCAGATAACAATAGGTCACCGTTCAATCAAATGGCTTGAGGTGAAATGTATAATGCAAATATATAATAAACACAAAATTGGCAGATATTAATTTTGATCACCTGATATTCTTCTTTTATTGAAATTGACAATTCTCTTAAAACTAGTAGGTATGAGAGGACATTTCCAACCACATCAAAATGAAAAGCCAATAAACTGGATTTTATACCAATTACACTTACTCCCTGCCCGTGACGGCTTTGGCGTATAGGGCAGTATGGAGGGTTCTCCATCCATGACTACCACTGACTAGCTTCTGAAGTGTGTCCCAATTTCTCTTTTATTCTTTTATTTCGGCTTCCATGGTCCGCCGCCAAGTGACTTTGGGCCTTCCTCTCTTCCGCTTTCCCTTTGGTGTTCTGAAGAAAGCAGTTTTTATAAATTAATGCTGTCTGAGTCCCTTCTAAGTACATGGTCAAGCCAATTCCACAATCTTCTGATGGTGATTACTATTATGTTGTGGCCATGTCCCTTTGCCTTTAGTTCCAAATTTCATGATATGTCAAACTTATTCCTGAGCGTAATGTTAATATTGCTGTCTTTAAATTTGTCCACATCAAATTTCTTTCGTGTCAGATTCTTTCCCACTCTTTCCCACAGTTTTAGTTTGATAGGTGCTGTTACCAGGTGGTGATCACTTTCGACATCGGCACCTCTCTTCACCCTCACATCAAGTAACGATCGCCTCCACTTTTCATTTATCATGATTTTTGTATCTCATGTTTGGAGAGTGCCATGTTATCTTATGAATGTTTCAATGAGGAAACAGTGTTCTTCCAAGTACCTAGTTGTTGGTGGTACAAAGTTCTGCATTTAAGTCTCTCTCCATTCTCATGCATGGTTCCACAACCATGTTCTCCCATTGCTCTGTTGAATAGTTCATTATTTGTTCCGACCTTGGCAGTGATATCACACATGGTGATCTCAATATAATGGCCTTGTGTGTTGTCTAATTCTTGCTTTAATTGTTCATAAAACCATTCTTGACCTCCTCATCTGCATCGTTATTGGGAGCATAGTAGTGAAATGATGCCATATTGACTTGCTTTCCTCTAAGTTGTACTGTTAATGGTCTATTGCTGATATTGGCTTCCTTTCGATCAAAGACTTCTCAACTCCTTTCTTGGATATAACTGCTACACTTTCGTGATATTGTCCATCTTCTCGAACAGAATACAGTTACTGTAGTGTTTCACCTGTTGTTGTTCGTATTCTCCCTGGATCAATCCACCTGCTTTCAATGACTCCTAGCACATGCAGATTGTATCCTCCAATTTCTGCTGTTATTTGTGCTAATTTGCCGGTTGCAAACATAGTGCGTACATTCCAAAATCCTACTTTGATCTTGTCTTTCCTTTTGATGGCCTCCCTGTTCAGATTGGTAGTTTCCCAATGGTTTTCGATCACTTCCTACAGATACACTGGTTCCTGTGATGGTCCTAGAGAAGCTCCCATTCACAGCTATAGAGATATTCCTACAGTTTTGAGCACTAGAGAAGCTCCCATTCACAGCTACAGAGATATTCCTCGGGACTGTTTCCGTAAGAATGACTTTTTTACGAGTTAGGGTTGCTAGCCCTAAGCTCAACCCCCTGGACCCGGATATTCCTTACCTTAGCCACGGGTTCCAGATATTTTATGGCGTCGTATACTCGCTTTTTGCCACTGCCACTTATCAACTAAAGCATTTTTAGGGTCATCACGAAGAAGTGTGGCATGTGACTTGGTGGCAGAACTTATTTAGAGCCTGGTATTAACTCGAGGTTAAGTTGCGAGACATATTATCGCCCCATGATACCCGAATATTTGACCCCACAAAATTACACGAAATATTTTAATTCATCACTGTTCAGGAATGGTTACATCTACAAAAGTATTTTCATGCTTCTGCCTCAAATCTATAAAAGTATTTTTATACTTCGCATTATGCCTCAAATGAAAGAGATTTTTCTTCTCACATCCTGGACGTCACAACACATCAGGAGGGGTCACTAATTATGCAAATTGTCAATTCCTCTACGTCAGAATCATTTGATAGCGGAAAATTCATTTATATCCCACGTTAAATTTTGACACCGATCTGAGTAGGTTCATATATGTTGTATGACGTCATTTTTGTGAGTTTTTTCTTTGAAATCGTTGACCTTTGACCTTTAAATTAACAGAGAAAATATTAAAAGAGCATATAAAATTCTAAATAGAAAACAAATTAACTGAGAAAATATTGAAATAAGACTCTAAAATTCTAAATAGAAAACAATTTCCTTGTCACCAGGACAGTACTCGAATCAGTCACAAGTGTTTGTCTAAGTATGCATTTCTCTATTCATTAATTTAATACATGCATGCATACCTATTTTGTTTCCGGGTAACTACATGTATAGATATTGCCCATAGACGTGCATATAAATTATCCGAAGTGTTGTGCATAAAACTATTTCTAACAGGCATATCTTTTTTAAGATCAAAAGATCGTGTCCTTGTGTAAGGTATGTATACATACTGTAATTATTCTTTCTCTCACAGGATGGACAGTTTTCGGCCTTTCTCCTTTACTTAAATTGAATACAGATTTTTACGGTCATGTACAGAGCATCTTGAGCAGATTTTGCCTTGGAATTTGTTCTAGAATGAAAGCTGTGCTTTTTAGCTCACCTGAGCTGAAAGCTCATGTGAACTTTTCTGATCATCCATTGTCCGCCGTCCGTCTGTCCGTCTGTCTTTAAACTTTTCACATTTTTAACTTCTTCTCAAGAATTACTGGGCCAATTTTAACCAAAGTTGGTACAAAGCATCCTTGGGTGAAGGGGGTTAAATTGTTTAAAAAATGAATGGCCAAGCCCCTTTCCATGGGAGATAATGAAGAAAAAGACAAATATAGGGTGGGTCATTAAAAAAAAGCTTCTCAGGAACCATTGGGCCAGAAAAGCTGAAACTTGTGTGAAAGCTTCCACAAGTAGTGTAGATTAGATATATTGTTCAAATTATGGCCCCTGGGGATAGGAAAAAATCTTTTTCTCCAGAACTACTGGACCAGAAAAGCTGAAACTTATATGGAAGCCTCTTGAGGTAGTGAAAATTTTAGATTATTCTGATCAACCCCCCCCCCCCCCAGGGTAGGGTAGGACTACAATAGGGAATCAAAGTTTTACATTAAAATATATAGGAAAAATCTTTAAAAATCTTCTTCTCAAGAACCACTGGGCCAGAAAAGCTGAAACATATATGGAAGCTTCCTGAGTTAGTATACTTTATAAATTATTTAAATCATGGTCCCCGGGGCCAGGGTGGGGCCACGATAGGGTATCAAAGTTTTACAGATGAAATATAGAGGGAAAATCTGGGAAAATCTTCTCAAGAACCACGGGACCAGAAAAGCTGAAACGTATGTTGAAGCCTCTTGATAAAGTGTAGATTTTAAATTGTTCAAATTATGCCCTCCAGGAGTAGGGTGGGGCCACAATAGGGAATCAGTTTTACATCGAAATATAGAGGGAAAATCTTTAAAAATCTTCTTCTCAAAATTGAAGAACCACTGGGTCAATAGAGCTAAAATTCATATTGAAGCCTTCTGAGGTAGTGTAAATTCTAAATTGTTCAAATTATGACCCCCCGGGGTAGGGAGTGGCCACAATACATATTACAAGGGGGAAAATTACTCCGGTAAGCGTTGTGGCCCATGGGCCTCTTGTTAACTTATCCTACTCCGTGATATCATGGTCATTGTACTCTAGAGTCGTTATTTAGCAGCAGAGGGTGTGAATTCTTTTATTAAATACGTGTATATTCTATAAATTCAGTAACGAAGTGCGTCCCAATATGTGTCTTGCATACAGTACAGAATTCATATTAGGGTCCAGGTTCGTCAGATGTACTGAATAGCCCCCTGATATACTGCTGCACGATTTTGTGAAATGGGGCGTTGGTCTGAAACATCGATTATTAATGAGAGTGACCCATCTCTTAATGAGTGTGACCTAACCATGCTTTTAATCGTATGGAGGTCTGCCTACATGTTGGTCTTCACTCTGTTGGGACGGGGTTCTGGAGTGTTGTATACAAAACAGAGCGGGATCATTGATTTTCTACTCATGATTAAATAATGTATTATTATACATGTGTACGTTGACGCGCCATGTCAGTGTAAACACGTGTCCTACATTATAGTATCACGAGGAAATTACTATACTCCTAAAATTAACAGGTATGAAAGTTAATTATTCTTTCTGAATTTTTACAAATGGAATATTAACTTATTTCCGATTAGAAATTGATATACTTGCAAATAAGTACCACTGTGTACGCTGAATAATATTTTAGTTTCGTTTTGAACTTTACAATCTTTAAACTTTGTTTTGGTAGTTGTATATCACATAGACCTCTATGAACAAGACGTTTGTATGAATATTGAACCCCTGCTAAGAACATGGCATCATATGTTTTTATTAACCCCAATCAAATAAAATACGTTCATTTGTCATATCAGCAACCATTTTGCATCTACGTCTCAGAAAGTTCTACTTTTAAAATGTCTCCTTTGGAACCGATTGACTACGGAATCAAAGTAAAATTAAATTGCAACAATCGATTAATTTCTTCTCTCCCTGTCTTTTTGGAGAAGAAGCATCAATGGGAACGTAGCATTTTATTTCATCTATTTCCTTCTCGCACATCTCCCAGCCATACTTCAGAGAGATACTTATTAATCGAGTCGGAGAAACTTTAAAGCAAATATTTTATTGCGTTCGCTTTTACAGGTCGATGAAACCTAGTGGGACTGCTATATATTTCCTCGATGAAAACATTTCATCGATTTGTCCAGCTCTGTACAAAACATTTAGAGTTAAATATTACTTATAAATCTCTAGGCTATAAACAAGTTCAGGTTGGTATGAGTTTAGCTGTTCGAACACGTGGAACATGGCGCGGGAAAAGGGGCACAGTTTAAATAGAAGGGAGATTGAGATGAAATTCATATCAGTATTAAGTTATAACTTTCTCGTTGGAATGTACTGCTGTGGATAAATGATAGCTCTGCTTGTAATCTGATCAAGATTCAGTCATGAAATATTTATAACAGCAGCTAGTGTCTGGCACTGCTTGTCGCCCGGGAAAATAAGGCCGTTATTTGTGCGTAACCTTGTACATGTAAAGTTGTAAAAAACTACACTCTGCATTTGATTATCGTCTTCAAATTACGGAAGGATTTGTGAACTTATAATTCCTTCCTTTTATATTTAATAACCATTCTGCAATCCTCATTTCCAAAATCCAAATTGTGATAAATTGACGATGTAAAATCCAAGGCAAAGTTATCCCACTATATAAGAATGGTACTGGCAGTTGGTTTATCCTTTATTTACAGATTAACAAAGGGAATGTGAAGACGAGATTAACGAATATCGGAAAAAAGGGTTTGTAATCACCAGCAGGAGTTTTGTCGAGAATGTATTCAGGATTATCTTATATCTCTCCGTTTTTTTTTTACGCTGAGTATAAATTGCTTCATTATTGTCACGCTCTTTGATATGCAGATTCTTTTTTTGTCCGGAGTCCCGCTAAGTGGAGGTTATTAAACTATAGTACTCTTGACACACGCACTGCCTCTCTAATGTGAAACCTCAATCGATAGACCCCTCTCCTAAAGTAGGGGGATAGAAAGGGCTGCGGAGATAGTCAGATCAATAGATAAAACAATGGCAGTCTTGAAACAAGTTCATCTGATTGATTTAATTAATTGATTGATTGGAAATCTAATTATACGTTTGTGTCTCTTAGGTTTTTCTGCAACATCGGTCTCGGGAAATGTCTCCGACTAGCTGATTAAGAAGATTACCCGATAGGATGACTGGTGAGTCACGTTTGGTGTTAAAAAAATGACTTTTTAAATGTTCATATATATTTATATATAAATTATTCTTATGCATTTTGTTACCTATCTTCCGTGCAGACGCACTGAATGTGCACGTGAGGACGGTGGTTGAACGTCTGCTGCAGAGGGACATTCCTGATCAGATCGGAGAAGCATCGGGTGTGCACTTCGAACTTACAAGGTGACTTACAAATTGAATCTATATTGTATAGATTTGTTGTAAATTTTGAATTTGCCAGGTGGCAGTAAGTAAAAAAAAAATACCACGACAAGTTATCATGTTGTAAATTTTGTAGTGATTTACTGCTCCCGGTAAATTCAAATTTTACAACATGACAGTATTTCCAATGCTTTAAAGTTTTACCGGTACATAAACGTAATATAAACATACTAAGTGAAACAAATTTCGTTGCTCAAGTCTGCATAATCTACGTGTAGATGCATATTGATATTTATATGGACATATTGGATTTGGCTTGGTCTGTCGTGCTTCTTTTTAGACACTGCATCAGATTTGTACCCGGACTAGAACTCTCGAACCTTTATAAAGAATATATTCAAACTTGCATATGCTGTTGCTGTTGGTCTACATGTACATGTATATCATGGTCATGATGCAAATTCATGCCTCAAAGTTCAAGGTCATTTGGGCAATGAGAAGACGAGTAGCAAGTACTTGGGTCATGACTGGAACCTATGATTGAAATGTTTCAAACATAACTATGTTTTTGTTGAGAACCTTAAAATGGGAATTTATTTTGTCTCCACAGGCAATTAACATCATAATTTCTAATCACATCAACATATCCAGTAAATTACTTAAGTATGGGGTTTTTAAAAAGAAAAAAATATGGCGTCAAGTACCTGTCCTTGACTCAAGGTGTATCTCAAAGGTCAGTTTTAACATTAAGATCATATACATGTAGTGATTTCCATGCAGGGGTATAAATAAGCAAGGGAACTTAAGACGTCCGTTTTTGTCATCAGTAGAAAAACAAGATCCCGTTTTCATAATTATCATCATGTTTAGGTCACCTGGGTTACTCGGTTAAATGCATAAAAGTACCTGATAATGGAACTCTTCAGTGTGCAGTGCATAGAGTACATTGATAAACATATACTGTACGTATGTGTACGTGTACCAGACGGTTATAGTTCCCTCTTCTACTAGGATGCGAACAACAAATCTACATTTACCATCAGCGGCGTTGATACAAGACAACATCACTACAAGAGGTGGGGGACTAAGCATGACGGGAAGGTACCGCTTTACGTACGGCAGAATGTGAGTGTTGCGTTGCTTCTTATACAACTAACCTTCTTAGATGTACCTTTAAAGGGCTTCCCTTATTATAGACTTTGCTTCGTATTCCTTTTGCAGACTATCTGGTGACGGAGATTTTGACGTCATTGTTTCAGGTCTTTCATTGGTCATCAGTCTCCCGCCACGTGAGTATATCGTAGTTAGAAACCTGAGAAGGTTGGCAGTAGCAAATTTATACATGTACATGTGGCATAAAATAGGAATGCGTCAGACATGATCAAATATCTTGTTCGAAATACAGAAGTGCTAGGAAGATTTGATGACATTGATATTGGAACAACATTCAATGTTGGGACTGTCTTGTTCGAAAACACTAAAATCTGTTCGTCTCCAACTTTAATCCTTCACCACAGTAATATTCGACATCATTTCTTTCAGGCATCTCGTTAATTGTCTTTTCAGGACATCGTCAACATAACACCCGCCATTCTAGGGCTTCCCCAGTCAACTCATCTCACGGAGAACCCCGGGATCATCATACAGCGGACCATGACACTATCAACAGATTCGTTCACCATGGCAACGTCGAGTGTACAGTGAGGAAGGTGAAGATAAAGTTCCGGGGGAAGTCGGCCAGACTCTGTGGATTTCTGACTAAGGTCTTCTCTAGATGGATTGTTTCGCAACTGCAAATCAGCGTAGGCAGCATATAAATACATTTAGAACTGCGATAAGATAGAAAGATGGGTTATTATGCAACTTGGTATATGATGGATCCTGGTGTATTAATTTAAGAAATGTATGGAAAATACAATCTTAAATAAAGGCCTATATTTTTAGCGATGATTGTAGTCGGAACATTAATAATTTAAGCCCGATAGTAATATTTTGTTTCCATTTATAGACTGCGGAATTTGTAAAGAGTTGGTTTCGTGAAGAGCCAGACATGTCTGTTATTGCTTTGATGGGTAAGTTTTAGCTATCTTTCTGGTAGTCTGTCTCTCCTAATTGTACAACATCAACCATAACCTTTAATTCACTCCCTTTTGCAGCTCTCTTTGCGATGAATGACCAAAATGCAGTAGGTAAGTATAATTATTTCAAATCACACATAAATGTACATATACATCGTTTTGTTTGTGTCCCTTTGTTACTCATTCTTTCCGTTGCACTATCTCTTTTAGACGAAGAAGACATACATGGTGCTCTTTCAAGACTTCGGTGCTGGAGGTTTCGAAGGAGAAGAGAATTACACTAGGCCACGTGATGTTCTACACTTGGTCATATGACTAGTTCTTTCAAATTTGGTTCTTCTATAAGCATTGAGGAAAATACCGAAGTCAATGAACATTGTTTTGTCAGATTTTATTATTATTTATTTTAATATATACTTTAATTTTAGTATTTTTGTAACAACATGTATTTGACAATATATTCGTCAGAGAAAATATTTTAAAAATTAGTTACTTGGTCTGTTTTCCAAATAATTGTATCAGTGCTGAATATTCGTCGCCGTATTGACCAACTGGCCATTTAACTATGAAAGAAATCTTCATCTTTATGGTTTTATGAAATGTACTGCAATGGATACCTTAGTCAGTGTAAAGAAGAATAATAACCCCCGTCAAATAATGACGGGGGGTCATTTTTCGACGTCGAAAAATGACCCTTTTGCCTGTAGAAAAACTGGCATCGCCCTTAAAATCTGCATACCCTACGTAAAGAAAAATGATTTTATTAGGGATATATTTTTCTTTCTGGATAAAACGGTTAAGAATTACATCAAGAAGCCCGTGGATTATAATGCTCACCTGAGGTAAATTGAGATACAGCGATGATCTTTTGTTCTCATTAAATTTTTCAAATGTCTTTTATGATAAATTGACGACTTTAATCGACATTAAAGTACACTGCATGGAGATGCTTCCATAATGATTTGACTTATGTATCATTGTTTTAAAAAAGATTTCTTTTTATTTTCGCTTATATTATCCAGAGAAAGAAAGAGAGAGAATTGTTTACGATGTCTATATCTACCGGTAAATCAAGTTGCGCCCGAGTGCCTGTTTTTCAAGCCAATGATTTAAACAGTGTACAAAGTTTACATGTAATTTTAGGACATAGAAAGTGTCTCATAATTTATATAGGAAGAATTACTTAATGTTTCAGAGACTACTGAAGTCATCCCATTTGTTAATCATAAACGTCTATAATCAGTAAAATATCGAAATAACAAATGATAAAAAAAGATTAAGACTAGATTGTATGCTATTGCAAACAATAGTATGAGGGGCCGTTTTGGTATTTACCGCCATATAGTGATATCACCTATTCGAATTATGATATAATCTATTCAGATTCTGAATTGGTGATATCCCCCACTAGTATCTGAAAATGTGATATCACCTATTCAAATTAAATAACTGCTCCAAAGACTATAGTGCATACATTTATACCCTATACAGGAGTAAAAAGTTAACGGTCTCTTTTCACTTAGATAATTATAACAGAGAGAAAGTATCAATAAACATAGCAAAACTGACAGCAAAGAAAATTTATATAACTTCACAGGGATTGAAAACAAATGTTGTTTAAAATGTCTCGGACTAGAACAAAGGGTATAAAAAGGCAGCCCGAATTTGCTTAGAATCAATGGAAATCTAGTTTTACATGTATACAAATCAGGTTGTTTTGTGGTCTTTTGTGTACATATACATTGTTACTTACAAACAGTGCCCCTCCCCTCTTTGTCCTAAAAAATTATCCTATATACAGTGAATCTTTAGTTTATTTGATCAATGCAATGCCGAAATAGTAGAGGTTATGGCTCAAATTCAGTACAAAAAGTCCAAAGAAACTTTATCATCATTTTTTTTTAAAGTTTGTTCAAGAGTAACGAAATCAATTTCAATTTTGAATCACTGCTAAGGAATTAGAATTGCTCTTTGAAAGCCTCTTAAAGTTTCATCCTTTACTTTGCATTGAAGCTAGATTGTCTTGAGGAAGGGAGCATCCATTATTTAATGTTGTAAGAAATGCAAATAGGTGACATCACCTATTCAAATTGGTAATATCTCCAATTCAAAACAAAGAAGTGATATCACCAATTCGAATAGGTGATATTACCTATTCAACTCGAATAGGTGATTGCACTGATTCAAATAGGTGATATCACCAATTCATTTCCAATAGGTGATATCATCAATTCGAAAAGGTGATATCACCTATTCGAATAAGTGATATCACCTATTTGAATATGTGATATCACCCATTCAATTTGAGTGTGTGCTATCACTTTTTCAAACAGGTGATATCACTAAATGGCAATAAATACCAATCCGACGCATCTTACTATAGACATACACAATGATCCATATATACATAATGATTACGTAAGGGCAGTTTTGTACTTGTGCACGTTGGTTCACTCGATCTTTGTGAGAAAAAGTTTGTCCAACCGTTTCCATGGCAATGGAGATAGTTTTAAAAATCTTAAATGTAAATGCATTTGTTAAGATCTCAACCTCTCTAATACAAAAATTGGCGGATTCAAAAATTTATAAACGGCGAAGGCGAGGATTGATTGATTGATTGTTTGTTAACGTCCCTCTGGAATTGTTCACTCATATGGAGACGCTACCACTTCCCGATGGGGGATTAATTACAAATTTTGACCTATACTCGGCACTGCCATTGAGCAGTGAGGGATCTTTTTCGCGCCAGCACCTACTGCGACACGGCCGGACCTTCGGTTTATACGGTCTCATCCGAAGAACCGGTCTCCACGTCCCGCAGAGGCGAAGGCGAGGAAGTAGATCGGAGGAAGGATTATTTCCTCTTAATAAGAAAACATCAATTCCCGAAACTCCGTGCAGCTAGGCAAACAATTCAATAACTTTTTACGGGGGGGGGGGGGAGTAAAGACATATTACTTTAAAAATGGGGGGAGGGGAATCTATATCTGTTGTGTGATTGTGGGGGGTATACTACAAAAGAACAAACTCTTGGTAGGATCTTGGTTAACAGGTAATTATACTTATATATATATGTATTTATACTTAAAATGCTACTGAAAAAAAAAATTTGCATAGGACTAAAAATCACAATTTGAATTACATACTTCATTCTGTGTTTTGTTGACCTCCTGCGAAATGAATGCGATTAGAAAGCTAATTTTACACCAATATATTTACGTGATGTTGATGGGCCATAATTGGAAACGAAAGAAACTAAGAAATCTTACATAATTAAGATAACACACATCAAATTTTTTTTAACTATAAACATTTATGAAACAGTTTAAGTTCATTTGTAAAAGGGATGTGGATTCGAAACAAACGTAGTTTACATTTAAAGAAAACTATTTTCTTTTTATTTTAACAAGACTTTCAATTCTGACGATAAGCTAAAGAAAAACAATATTCCCAAAAAGCTTCATTATTTGATTCAGTATTTATCAGGTCAGAGAAACGGAATTATCTAATAGATAAATAGATAAGAATGTAAAACATTTCATCATAAATGTAACGGAAATATCGCACATAGATGAAAAAATAAATAAATAAATGTATTATCTTTGCATTTTTTTTTTTTTTGATCAAATTATTGATTTTAATGATTTTTTTTCCGCTTTCTTGACAAAGGATTGAATTGAGAAGTCAAGCTTTGTTTTATCTCGGAGAAAACATTAAATTTATGACACCACACGACCCCCTTCCACCATTTTATCTCAGACTGTTGATTTTTTTCAAACGCTTTACTGCTTGTGAAATCTTAATCGAAAAATTCACCCCCCCCCCCCCAAAAAAAAAAAAAAAACAATACAAAAACAAAAAAACAACAACAACAAAAACAAACAAACAACAAAACTTGCATGATAAAGGTATTTTTTATAAGGCAATATAGATTCTACATATAACGTAAATTAAATATTTTTTACCATAAAAGCATAGGCACATGACGTCTATGCCTTTAAGCTCTTGAATTCAAGGGCCTGGGCCTTTCCAATTGGGAAAAAATAGAGACATTTGGAAATTGGGAAAAACATTCTATACAAAAAAGTAATGAAAAAGATCAAACCAGTGCATGAAGCAGGTATAAACTGGACTCCTTTTGGCTTTCAATATTTGGAGAAAAAAAATGGTTTACTTAACAATTTTGAGGTAAAAGTTGCAATCTGTGGGCTTGTGAAGGAGATTTATGAGCGACAAGGCTAACCTGTTTCGACGTTTTTTTTAAATGTTTGGGAATTTTAAAGCAAAAAATTGGGAAAAATACTTGCTTTTCAGCATTGGGAATGGGGCCTTATTTCGGCCCCCTAGAGACCCTTAAAAAAACCCTGGACACGTTCCTCAATAATATAGGCCTATAATTTTTCCCAAGAATTTGTCACTGAAGTACTTTAACAATTTTCCTCACAAAAAATTGACGTACTTTACCAGAAATTTGTGCAAGATATCAAAGGGTGGTGTTTCCTATATATAATCCTATATATATACATTTGCTGTGTTTTTCTACTAAGCCAACTGTGAAATTGATTTGAAAGTCATTTTTGGGTATACTCACGCGTAGAAATATACAGGACGAAACTCGCGCTAAAGTGACGTCAATATGACGATATAGGGCAGCGAGAAATTCAAAAATTGAGTATATTTTTGGTGCATTGAAGCATGTAAAATGTAAATACAAGGAATGTTTTTAAGTTTTGTGTGAATTATTGGTGTGTAAATCACACAGACTTGCACGTAGGCATATTTTTCATGAAGCACTAGCGCGCTTCATGAAATATGCCTACGTGACAAGTCTGTGTGATTTACACACCAATACTTATTAAAAACATTCCTTAATTGAAATCACTTGAATTGTCAATATTCCAATTTTTGTTATATTTATTTTCTAAGACAAGTTAGAAAAAAGTTTAGAAATCACAAGATAATGTTAATATATTATGAATATTTCTTATATTTTACAAAGAGAAGCAAAACAGATATTTGAGGAATGTGTCGTCAGACCTTATGAAGCAACAATTTTTATGAAAAAAATTAGGTTGATAATTATATCTCTAAGCAGTGGCAGTGAACAGTTTGCAGGAACAGTAAGCAGCTGGCAGAAAGCAGCTGGCTGTCTTATATGGTGGGGGGGTGGGGGGTTACGTGGTTAATAACTATTATCTCTTTATTAATATTAATAATTTTTGTGTCAAATTTGATTCAGAAGACACTTAATATAATCAACAAAACTAAAATTGTATATACAATGCTGAATCCTCATATAAATGACACCAGTGCCACACATTTCTTGTATTTTGATATAACCCCTAACCGCAGCCAAGTTGAATAGGAAGTTCAGATGACGTCATTCAGACCATGTGACAGTGTTGACACTGTTGTGGTTGGAACGTAAACAGGGAAAGTCGAAAGAGTGTATGCTGAAAGAAAGAGACTGTCAACAGCTGGCAAGGAGCTAATCTAAGAAATAATTATTGCAATAAACAATGTCATCCCAGGGCTCGCCACAACAACTTGTTTCAGGTCGGGAGATTCCAAAAAGAGCAGTTTTGAACGATTTATCTCAACTACCTCATGATTATAGCACCACACCAGGAGGGTCCATTTTCTCGACAACGCCTGGGGGTAGAGTTATTTACATTTATTTTCATATGTTTTTGCATAAATATGTACAATTTATTCCACCTCTTGTTATGAGTATGCATGCACTTTTGTAATTAATTGGCCATTTTGCGAAGTAAACAAAATGATTCTTGTTTTCAATATGGCTGACAGCCATGACCACGTGATACTTTGTTTTTCTCGGCAAAATGAGGTGTTTAATAGCGTATAAACCATAACGTTTCGTGTCATTTAAGTAGCAGAACAAATAATCAGGTAAAAGCAGGTATCGGGAGAAATATTTGTTTTTCCGTTTAGATAGCACACGCCCGACCATGTGCTTCTTGCTGTGCAGGCATGTGACGTCACAATGTTTTGTTGCTGAAATGCGTTTCAGTTCAGTAGCATATCATATGGTGTGAATAGTTACGTTGATTCCACCGCAATCTTACTTGATTGCATTCATTTTTTAATTATATGCATTATGCTTCAGTTTATCTGCTTCAGTTCATCTGCTACAATCAATCAATCAGTTTATCTGCTGAATTCCCAAGTGTTTTCAAGGATTATTGCATCAGACCAAAATTAGGAAAATATAACTAAGCATTAAAAAAATCTGTAATTACTGTAGAATATCAATTTTTAGGTCATGTCAGGTAGTTGGGTGATTATTGCTTTCATGTTTTTGTCCTTTGTAAACTCTTGAGCATTTTTAGCAGTGTCAAATAGGGATGCGCGATTTTATCGGTATACCGGTATATCGCGATTTTTTATTGTGTGATACGTATCGTGATACGGAGACTAAAATACCGGTATTTGGTACATAACTATAAATTCCGGAAATTATTCATTTATTTGTTCAAACTATTGAATTGCAATTACAGGAAGTATAAAAAATGTTGAAAACAGTTAAACAACGGCATCAAAACATGCTTTATATTGAATAAATGAAAATTTAAAAAGTAAAGTTATGTTTTTATAGCATATTTTTAAAAAAATATTATGGAAATTCATTTGAAATTGTAGTAAAAATTGTGTGTAAAAATATCACGATTTATCATGATATTTTTAGGGAAAAATCGTGATATATCACGATACGAAATTTTTGCTGATACCCATCCCTAGTGTCAAACCAATTTCGACAAATTTTGGCACTTTAATTTAGCATCTACATATCCAGAAGGAGAAAGGAACGTAGTACAAAAAAAAAATTGAACCCCACCCCAATCCTGACCAGAGGGATTGGGCAAATTAAAGAATCAAAATGATGAAATCATTAAAAATTATATTGGTGACTGTTTACATTATTAAAATGAGCTATAAACTGTGTAATGAATTATGATTTGAATCGATCACCTCTAGTCCACTGTCGAGAGCTTAAGCCCCAGGGCAGAACTTATGTGATTCTGTATGTGAAATATATGAGATCTTTGCAAATCTTCACATATACATAATTATATTATATATATATATATATATATATATATATATATATATATATATATATATATATATATATATATATATATATATTGAAAGTCAATATGCTTGAAAGTCTTCTCCTTTTTTTCTTGGACATATTGCCAACAAACCATTTTGAAGTTCATTATAATGAGGAATTAGTTTTCTACCCATATTGTGAATTATGTGACCCTTGGGATTCTTTATTCATAGAGGGTAATAGACTTGAAACTCAGATGATAGTTGTCTCAATTATAAGATATATGTAGTTCTAGGTGAACAGATATATTGACCTACTATATTTTAGCTAATCCTGAAAAGTTATATTTAGAAACTGACAGACATATTGACCCAGTAAACGTTTGCGTCAGCATAATCTTTCCTGTTATCAACACTTGCCACAACTCGTTACACAAAAACAAAAGGATGATGCAATCACTGTCATATGAAAAGTAGATATTCAAAGATATTTGTGCATTTACTTCATAAATATTCCTAGCATAAGTTCAGTTCATGTGGTGCATGCAATCAACAAAATAGTTTGACATTTATTTTAATAAGAATGGGACCCCTTAAGGAACCATTTGAATACACACCAGTGACATATACATTCCACTTTGTTAATCTTTGTGTTTAAAAAAAAAAATTCTTTCTTTTATTAGGAAGTAGAAAATTCAAAAAATATTATTTTATTGTAGGTACAAAGATTTTCTATGACAGATCATTTTTGCTTAAATGTCGGAACTCACCGCTGACAAAAAGTCCCCCTCCCAACATGGCCAAGATCCCTGGGGTCACTGCCCCAGCCTCTGAGAACATCCCCAAGGAAAATGGGACAGATGTTGTCCATGACGAAAACCAGAAGAAGAAAGGTAACACCATAAGTATTATTATTATTTGGAAGATATTATAATCCAGCCAGATTCAATCCTCTTTCAAAACATGCAAAATTAATTGGGATTAGGCCATTCCAAGTTTTTTCAATGTTTAGCATCCACATGCGCCTAGATTTTTGACATCAAATATAAGAAAAAAAACAAACAAAATCAGGAGTCCAAAAACTGATTATTCTGGTCAAATTTTTTTTAATTATGTCAATTTCTCTAAAAATTTGTTTACAATATGTCAATATGTCATGTTAGATAAACTTTAAGCATTTAATATCCTGATTTTGCTTAAGAATAGATCTTTCTCTGAGAAAAATAGATTAATGAAATCAAAGCCTTTGATTGATCTCATTTTTATAATTATAAATTCTTTGTTTTATTTTTTGGTTTGAGTGTTTTTTTAATAGGTAGGTAGGTTTTTGAAAGATGGGAGAAAAAACTTTGAATGGCCTTACTGTGCTATAAACGTTATTTTAAAAAAAATCTTGAAAAGCACAAAGCTGTGCGTAGGGAAAATCCTTAACATTTTATATTCAAGGAAAAGGTCAAGTTCAGTGTCATTTTACTTGCCAAATAACATATTTTTATGTGAAATAAAATCTTAAGTTTACAATTTTAGAACAGCCCCTTTTAAAAAATAAACTGAATAAAGTTCTTTGCAAATTAAATTTTGAAGAAAATGTCAAGTTTATGAAATGTTCTCATTGTAGAGGGCCATGAGGATCAGCCACAGTTTGAGATGGACATCTAGTGACACACTACCCATAATGCCTTTCAGTTATCTATCTATAGGACTCTACTTTTATTTTCCAGAAGACGTTTATGTGTAGATAACTCCGTTATGACTTAGTCATATTTCGTATTTGACATGTTTATATTTAGTGTGATTTTCAAATCAGTACCTCCTTCATATTTCTGAAATAGTTGTACATTTTCACAAGACAGAAAATCCAGGTGTACCATACTGTAATTAATATATGTATACGTTGCATGTCAGTATCATTTTTCGGGTGCTATTATTAAGTAATGTTTCGGAACAAGACTGATTGAGGGAAGAGAAAGTTTAAGTCAGAGAGCCAAAGAGATTATGTAACTAAAAGCAGACTGATTTTGTGCATTATTAAAGTCAGCAGGTATTTTCATTTCGTTATGCAGATCCTGTAAGAACATGTTTGATATGTTAATTTTGCAAAAGTTTGTACAGTATTTGTATTGATGTATTTTGATCTAAAAATAAATTTGTTTTGTTAAGGTTGAAACAGTAAGGTATTGTAAATTACTCGGTCATGTGGAAATGATTGACAGTTTTGTAGATTCTCAAGCTTCGCGCAGATCATCCGTCCTAGAAATTCAAGTATTTTGGACATCTTCACAACTTTAGTGCCATTTGTGAACCATCATTAATTGGTAACAGTATGGTGGACGAAAAAATTAGACTGAGAAAAGAAATACTTGAAATTTAAATGAAAACTAAAAATCTAGAAGCATATGATGGGAGATTACAGATATTTCTGTGTGCTAAAAAATGCATGGAATATTGCATTGAATTTTTTAATCAGCAAGTGACCATTTTATGTTTGTTAAGATAACAGACATACATGGACAGTGATTCACTGTTTGTATGATCTCAATTTTTTTTTAACATCCTGATTTGCTCAGGATTTTAAGATTTTGTTGAACTAAGTTTTATGAACTCTGACATAGTTTTGTTACAGGATTTTGTGACTTAGTGCTCTCATTTTTGGTGCAGATTTTGTTAAGATTTTTGTCTGTACCTCTTGTCAGGCATGCTGAATTGTCAAGATCTGGGCCACATTCCACACTGAGTGATACTGTCTATGAATAAAAAACAACAAGGGAAATAGGGCAGCAGATTTCAGAAAGCTTTCACAGTGGATTATGCAGGAGTTTTCTTTGTAAACAAAAGTCATTATTGATTTGTCGTTATTAAATGATTTTAAAAAGTTTTTGAATTCTCTTTCTGTTCGATACAAACAGTTCTTAAGGATATGCGCTCCACAGCCAAGAACGATTACTCTTTAAATTAGTATTTAATTAAAATTTCTTTGAATGAAGTTTGAAATTGAATTTTTTTTTTAAACAATTTATTTCATGCAACTCAGTATGATTCAAGGGTCTTTGAAGTCTTAGAAACAGTCTTGAAAAAAGGTGTCATTTGTACCCCATTAATGTTGAAAGAAAAATGCATTTTTAGATAAATCAAACTTCCTTTAATCTGGCATCAGATAAAATTACTTATTAAGCATGATATGGTATAGGAAGTGATGTCTTGCAATGATAGCACAAGCTTTATACACTATTTATTGTTTAATAACTGAAGTAAATAGAAAAACTTGAATATATATTTAAAAATGAGCAATTTCTCCAAATGCCTTGGATACCTGCCATTAGTTTTTAATCCTAAAATACATTTTATATTTGTTGATCAATTTTCAATTAGAAAATGCATAGCTGGTGCTTTTATTTGTGTTTCTTGAAAATGTATTTGAGATTGATAAGTTTCTCTGTATAATGATTAACTCTGATGATGAAATTTGGTGAAATACCATGTATAAATACAGATTACTTTTAGTCCCGTCAGTTTAGCGAAAATTTGGGTCCAATTGCAACACAAATTATTTTGTCATAAGTTAAACTTGTACAAAATATTTTGTATTAAAAAAAAAAAAAGTTCTTATGTTCAAAAAGCATAATAATTAGCTATAGGAATCACTTTAGAAAAGGGGCATAACTACCGGTATGTAAATTCATCCAATGTTTTTGCTGAAGTAAAATAAAATTCCTTGTTTTTTCTTGAAACATAATCTGTTTTAAACTTTTTTGATACAGTTCAATTGATTTGATAATTAAATCATTATTTCAAGTACATAATATAAATTTGAAATATTTTGAATTTAACTTCATACTTTTTGTTAATTTGGAAAAAAAGCATTCTTAATGATGAATACAGACTTTAAAAATAAATAAATTTCCCTTAGATTAAGATTTAGTATGCATGGATCATTTCATTTAATACAAATGCTAAATAAAATCAAAAACACATCCATTAAGATTTAGAGACAAAATCCAACTTGCATTTTGATAACCTCTACCCTAAAATTTTATTATTACTGGTATGAGGTGAGGAAATGCAACATACACTCTGAAGTAAGCCTTAACTTACTTCCCTAGATCTAAAAGGGTTTACGGCACATATAAATGTCATAGTACACAGTTTAATGCACTTCTTTCATCCAGTTTAAAAAAATGCCCCAAAATTTACTAAATTGACAAAAGTTATGCCCTCTTTCTGTAGTAATTTTGTTTGCTTTTTTTATACATTTACATTTTTGTGCATTCTAGAGTTTACTAGTATTTATAACAAGAAAAATTGTGTTGCAATTAGTTTTGATGTTTCATGATAAACTGACTGGACTATTTGTGCAGAGACATTTTTGTGAGCATTTTCAATATTACTTAGCTGTTGATTTTCATCAGCTGAGGATCGGACTACCTTAATGCTATTATAGATGCTATATGATCTAAAATTGGTTAAAGAGCTTGATTTCTCTTGCAACGAAGTTGGAGGGGAAATAGTAATGCGCTTATGTGGGTGAAATGTGTAATGGAAGTTATGTAAGTACATGCAATACATTTAATTTATATCAGGATAAATGTGCTCTTTTGCATGGGATGGCTCCGCTTTGCAATCCCTTGTTGGAATAAGTTCACAGATTCAAATGATGCACTAAAAGAAAGAATACAGAACAACCAGCTAACAACCATCATCACCATAGAAAATAAGAAATCAGGATAAATTTAGCCACATTAACATAGCTACAAAGGAATTTTCTGTTTGAACCAGGCTTCATGAAAACATAAACAAATGTTTCTACACTGCAAAGTCCTCCTTTCTATGTTGATTTCTATATGCTATTCCGTAAGATTATATACATGTACTTAGATTCTGTTCAAGTACAATTTTTTCCTGAAAATTGTCATTTTAATCTTATTTTATCTAGAGCACAGGTGAACCCCAATTACTAGTGACATTTCTTGCCAAAAGGAAACCCAAATTCAGTACATGTACCTTAAAGAAAACTTGATAATACATGTCTGCCCATCCTACTTCGTTACACTGAAAACATGTACTTTCTTTGCAGTCTCAGAGAGAACCATACTATCCATGTGAGAAATCCCTTCAATGAAGCTTGGTACTGATAAACTCTGTGTGCTTGACCTTTTTCCACACCTAAATTTGGAGGTTACAATAACAGTGCAGTTATCCCTCTTTTTTCCCATCTGCATTTAAATTTCAATCAAAATACAATGTAACTTTTGTTCAAATGATAAATGCAACCGATTTAAAATCCATTTAGGACAGAAAAATTCCAGGATCAGGAATCTTATTTACTGTGTACATGTATTGACTCTGTCTTCTTCAAGATAACATGATCAAGTAAGACTATAATTCTCCTAACAAGAGTTATGTCCACTTGGTATGTCAATACTTGTACTTGTATTTCAAAAAAAGAAGGCATATTTCTTGTAAACAAATAATTATAATTCATTAATAAATGAGACATCAGGTAGTTTGTTGCTTATTATAGAACTCTTTATTTCTACATTAAAAATTATTACAATGTATGTATCAAATTTACTTGGCAGATTTAATTTACAAAAGAAGAGCACATGATGGTAGTTGCGATATGGAAGCTGGGACATTTTATAATAAAGCCAATATTTCAATTTTTAAGATAAAACGATTGAAAATACAGCGGGGTAAATACCAATTAAAGTCTTGGGGTAACTAACACTGATGCACTATGACAGTTAACTAATCAAAGTAATCTGTTGGTGAAGGGATACTACGATTTCCTTCTAAAACTTGACATAGTATGATGGCCCTTAAACTTTCAATAAAATGAATTGTATTACTGAGGTTTAACTTTCAAATTCGAAAATTGCACCAGATGTACATACAATAAATCTTAAATGGGATGATACTGTTATGCAATAAAATAAATAATGAATAATTTCATAGCTGCCAGATTAAACTATGGACGTAAATTAATCAGAATTCAGGAGGAATTCTTGTCTCAGACACATCAAACAAGGTAGAAGATATTACAAACAAACAATGGAAAAATACAACGCTCATGACATCCAATTTAAACAAGCAGTGACTAATATATATAAAAGAAACTTATAATACATGAACTTACAATTCAACAAATACACTAATGATTACAGATGAACAAATAAAGAAATTCATAACTCTTCTACAACACACAACATTTTAAAACCTGAATAGACAAATTCATTAACCAAGGTAAAACTGTTTTACAAGGCAGTAATTTAATTGAAAAATTGGCTTCAATGATGCAGTGGTTGATATGATGACTGATTAAATGGACTAGGAAATCCTCTGTGAGGGGTTCTTGTACTCCATTCCTAGGTAGTCAAAAATGTCCTCCTCTGAGGTTACTGGCAAGGGTTCTCCTGGTGTCCCTACAAAATCACACTTGACTGAAGTTATTGTATCCAGGCAAACTGACACAGACTCAGTACTTTTCATTTAGCAAACAAAATGGTTATATTTTGAGTTTGGAAACACATGTCATAGAAATAAATTGGAAGTGCCTATCAATTTTTAAATATTTTTCTGGACACATGAAGTGCCCATCACCTGGGCACAGATTTTACTCTGAATGCCAACTGTTCATCAATTTTATTTTTTAAAGTTTTATAAAAGTTTGGTTTGTAAAACAGGCATAAATAATGACTTTCATACAATCATATATGAGAGATTATATTTAATTCATATCTGTTTCTTATATGTCTTAAAAAGTTAAAATATCATAAAATGTTAAAAAGTTTAACAACAACAACATCCCCCCCCCCCCCCCCAAATCCTGGAACAAAGCAATTGATTATATTAATTTAAGGTAAAAATTTCAGTATTGATCCTTTTGAAAATGTTTAATCTGGTCTACAGATAAAACAAAAACTCTGTAAACCAACTTTCCCTCACAGACAGCATACCCAGGGTAGAACATAGAAAAAATTGGATGCTGCAGAGGAGCATATTATTACCAGTACTTGTTTACTTTTTTCCTTTTTTGAAAACAAAGACAACTTGAAACAAACAATTTGCAAAAGGAAATAGCAGAATACCTGTAAATGTTTGAATGACAAAACTGCCAAAAGAAATAATTGTGAAGAGGTGTACAGCTGCTGCACCTTGGCCTGCAGCCTTACCTGTGCTGCCAAGAGGTCTTAAGGTGTACTCGTTTAATGTGAATCCCACTTCCAAGGCATGAGCCCTCATATTTTTATTGAAGATGTCACTTCCAGTGAAGTACAGCAATGCGCAGTAGTACTGGTCATGGGGAATCAACCTATACAAATTATAGATTAAATGCCCTCAGGGGACTGAACTCCTACATGTGTAGCATTCCAAAAATGCTTTAATTACTAAAATTACATACTATATTGAAAAAATGTCATTTTATACATTTCATAAATTGTTCTGTATTTTATTAATATTATTTATTTGTTGTTGTTGTTTAAATTAAGCTAATTCAATGCAAAATGTAGTGTTTACAATAATGTTTTTTTTTCCAGAATAATATTTTCTACGAAAGTTAGCTGACTTTGACTTGTCACTACAGTATGGTATTACCTGATATCAATTCTCCTGAATGGCTTCTGTTTGGAAGAACTAGGACTGGAACCAGAATCTAACACTCGGCAAACTCCCTGTAAAATTTAGAATCAGAATCTAACACTCGGCAAACTCCCTGTAAAATTTAGAACCAGAATCTAACACTTGGCAAACTCCCTGTAAAATTTAGAATCAGAATCTAACACTCGACAAACTCCCTGTAAAATTTAGAACCAGAATCTAACACTTGGCAAACTCCCTGTCAAATTTAGAACCAGAATCTAACACTCGGCAAACTCCCTGTCAAATTTAGAACCAGAATTTAACACTCGACAAACTCCCTGTAAAAAAAGCAGAATCTAACATTCGACAAATTCCCATAAACTTTATAACCAGAATCCAACATCTGACAAACTCCTTTAAAATTTTAAATCAGAATCTAGCACTCGACAAACTCCTGTAAAATTTAGATTCCTGTAAAATTTAGAACCAGAATCTAATCTCAACAAAATCCTGTAAAATTTAGAACCAGAATCTAACACTCAACAAACTCCCTGTAAAATTTAGACTGAGATACAACATATGAGACTTTTCTTTATTTAAATCAAATGACTCTCCTATCCTTTAATAATGGGTTTGGAGTCCTGTTTAGGAAACTGTGACTGGAAATCAGTGAACATTCTATATGAAAATTAGGGAACATTCTACCATGAATATGAAAGTGCTGATCATTAAAACTGGTGATTAGTAACCAGTCTCTGACATTATTTAGAACATGACTTCATGATTACAAGAGACCTCTAAAATATACAATAATAACAATATATACTTAGCAAAAATATACAGTGAGTCAGTTACACATACCATATACTTGAAGTCACCATGAGACAAGGTGTCAGTGATTAGTCCAATTTTTTCCAGTCTCTTCACAACCTGATGAAGCAAATCTGGCTGAAAATAAGAATAGAACTCATTATTCTGCAGTTATCTTTTTATTGCCATGAAATTCCTGAATAAAATATACTTCCAATACATTGTATATTAATATAAAGAATCTGTTCCCAGGGGTGGATCTTTTTGCAAAGAGAATATAAACTGCAGCAGTAATATAGCTGTGAGTATAAGTTATTGAGTATCCTCTTTGTCTCACCTTTCCCTTGGTTTTAGATGTGTAGTCTGGGTGTGTTAGTAGAATATCTATGTCCCCACTGGACTCAGCACCTGTAGTAAAGCAGCATTATTACTGTTTATAATTATTCATATAGCAAACCTGTCTCTATTAACTACATTTACCAGAAACAGTGCATATTTACCAACCTCTTCTGAAGCTGCCACAAACTCTGGCTTCAAATTTATCATCTAATTTCCTGATCTCATTAAAGGCAGTGTCCTGTTCAAGATGAGATGTACATGTAATGAAAGATCAGTACAATTGACAACAAAATTCAAATGTCATAACATATTGATTTACCTCAAATATAAAATAAATTTTAATGAGTAACTGAATAAAAATTACAAAGCGCTTGTTTATACTTAAACATTACTACGGTGATATATGCACATGTACTACATGTACAATTGTGAAAGTATGTTATATAAGCACTTAAAAGAATTGGCTTATACATGTATAAAGAAATAAGTTCCAATAAAAAAAATCAAAATTTTAACCTACCAATTAATATCAGATACATATACATGTAAATGTTTATGCATGTATGGACATCAAATATTTCCCTATAGATACTGGGGGAAGGGGGGGGATCATTGAACATTTATAATAAATCCCCATTACAATGTTGGCAGGTTTAATATGGTGCTTACCTGTATCTGCTCCACCTCAGTTCGGGGAATTCTCTTCTCAAAGTCTTCAAAATGTCTGTAAATTTAGTATATGTGTTACATAATGTGAAGGTCATCCCCATCATGAAACAGTAAAATTTGTCTTAACAATTTTACAATGCATGAAATTTTTTACATGTATTTTACAGTACACTGTATATGGCAAGAATTAGGCTACCACTGGACAGTAGTTAGAGTTTTTAAGTTAACGTGAAACTTACTTCAACCCAATTTGCTGGTGATGATTCAATTTTTCTGGATGTTTTCTCAACTCTGAAATTCACAGCAGATAATCAGCTTAAAATCTTAAATAATCTTAATTTGCTTAATTACAGGTAAAACTGATGGTGAAAATCAGAACCATTTTCATAAAACACTTGTCCTGTATAACTATTCACTGACCCTCTATTGTTGTAATTCCTTCCTGGACCAACTTTTGAGCTGCTGCAGGTCTGTAAAACATTAAAACAAACAACAAGTCCCATACTGCACTTTGAATTTTCTAAGTATGCATTCCTATTTCAAACTTTTATCCATTATAGTGGCTGCACCCTAGCCCCAAGGGCCAAGAATTGAATAAAACTGAATCCATACTACACGACAATGCATGCAGATTTTGACAGAAAGATTATTTTTCTTAAAATACTCTCTACCTTCAATTAGGGGGGAAATAAAACTTGCAATTTTGACTTGTTTTATTGTCTGTGGCCAAATAGTTCTTGAGAACATTATACATCACAAAATCCTATTTTGTTGGGGTCAAATTTTCATGATTTGTGGGAAAAAATGTACTGTTAGAGGGGATTTAATTTTATGGTTGATAGACAGACAATAACAAATGATGATAAAAACATAGGTAATCAAAGATTACAAAGCTCACCTCGACGAATGTTATCTTTAAGTAAGGCAAATTTCACATTATATTTTTTTTTATTTAGTGTACATCCCAAGATCAGTGTCCATGCAAGTTTGGTTTAAGTACGACTTATAGTTACTCGGAAATAGACCTGTTCAAAAAAAGATTATCCTGTTTACTAATCAAGAAAATTTTGGTCAGTTCCAACATCCAAAGTAAGTCTGGAAGTTTCCATCCTTAGATGCACCATCTATGCAAGTTTAATCATAACAGGCCATAATGTTATATAGCTACTCCAAAAAAATTATCCTGGTCACTCATCTGGAAAATGTAGGTCAGATTCAGAATCCAAAGCAAGTCTGGAAGTGATTATGCCTAGCTACATCATCCATGCTAATTTGGTTAAAATATGGCTAAAATTCACTCATGTGGAAAATCTAGGTCGAATCCAGCATCCGAAGCAAGTGTGGTAGTGTCCATCCCTAGATGCATAATCCATGCAAGTTTGGTCCAGGTAGGGCCAATAGTTACTTGGGTATGGACCTGCTCCAAAAACTTTAACCTGGTCACTCATCTGGAAAATGTAGGTCATATCCAGCATCCAAAGCAAGTGTGGTAGTGCCCATCCCTAGATGCATCATCCATGCAAGTTTGGTCAAGGTAGGGCTTATAGTTACTTGGGAATGGACCTGCTCCAAAAACTTTAACCGGGACGCCGACGCTAATGGACACCAGGGGTATAGCATAAGCTCATCTCGACTTTGTCGAGGTGAGCTAAAAAATTGATAATGAATTAAAATAGCTCGTCCCTGGCATTTTACCATAGGCATGTTTTACTGTATTATCTCCCCTTGGAAACACCCAGCATGATCCTTTAAAGAAGATTGAATTCTCTTTATCGAAGGATGTTCTTACATATGTTTATTTAAAATTGGCCCAATGGTATTTGAGAAGAAGCTTTACAATATGAGAAGTTTACAGACAAAGACAAATGGCTTTCAACTCAGAATACCTTAGCCAATAAAAAAACTTATTTATTAATAGATCATAGGTCAACAAACTACAGGATAAATATAGATTTTACCCTATTCCTGTGACTTTGGTTAGTTCATTTATAGCTACATTTGTGTCATCTGCCCTTATCTGTCAAAAAAAAAAGAAAGAAAGAAACAATAAAACTGGTTAAAGTTTACAATGTTAAAATTTACAGTGAATACAACTTGCTCTTTAATCTACACAGGTCCAATCTTATACTAGAGGTACAGGGCTCGACATTAACGCTTGTCCGCTTGTCCGGTACCAGTGAAAAAAAAATACGGACAAGTGAATATTGCTGGGCACTTGTCCGATTGGACAAGTGCATTTTTATGTAAATAAGTCTCTAAATATTTAAAAGAACGACTGTTGAAAGTTTACAGGTACTGTAAGACGGAAACAGTACATAAAAACCGAACTTCGATCCCGATATAGATTGCTATGTAATTGAGTACACTCGATCGGGATCGAAGTTTACTAATTGCATACTACTGCAAAGGCATGGAACTGACGAAGTTTGGATTCTGTTTTATGTTGCCAGGACAGAAAGTATAGATAAAATTTTGTGTTATTATTTGTTGTATTTATAAATAACATCATGCACATGAAATGGACTTTATTTTTAGTTTTTCAGTTAACAGTATTAGATCTTTATTGAAAATTTTTCGGACAAGTGAATTTGAAGTTTGGACAAGTAATTGTCTTGGTCACTTGTCCGAATGGACAAGTAGTAAAAAAAGTTAATGTCGAGCCCTGAGGTACTGTGAGCGAGCTCATAAAACAATATCCTCCACTGCAATTTTTTTAAAGTGCCCATTTGCAATTTTGTAATTGTGACCTTGAACTTGCCGACATGACCTTGGTTTAAAAAAAAGACAAATCCTCTGTTCATAAGTAATCTTTGAATTAAAATATTGACATCAAGTGTTTCTCCATTAGAAAGTTAAGGATTTGACATGAATTTTACACTTTTCTGTCGGTGACCTTGAAATTGCTACAATGACCTTGGGTCAAGGTTATGGCATACTTTTAGCTCACAAATATTCTTTGTTTAAAGTTTCAACATCCAACAAAAATTCTATCCTTTTTTCTGAGAGTGACCTTCAACTTGCCAGAATGCGTTAGGTCAAAGTCATGTCACATTTTTAAGACATAAGTAATCTTTCGTTTAAGCACAAACTTTCAATATTTATCCATTAGAAATTTTCTGACAGCTGGTTCCTGACCAGAAACAAATTAAATACTTTTACCTTGAATATGCTGAATGACCTTGTCTTGTATCATGATGCACCCTTAAGGTCAAGATCTAGTAAATGAGTTTAGACTGTCTTTTTGGTGCTAGATCCATTATGACGTCATAATTGATTTAAACTTAATTTTTCCCGTACTTTACAGCTATTATAGAATTATGTAGAAAATGAAACATTTTCATGGAATTCAATTTGAAATCATGTTAAAATTAAACCCCGATACCTATATTCAAATTAATATCATTTTAAAGAAGAGGTCAAGAAGATATGAAAAACTGTTTTCTGAGAGACTGTAGGCAATATTGATACATTTTCTTTTTCTGAGAAGGAAAAAACTCCCATATTTATACCTGATTTCCTTCATTTTTTCATTGAAAATAACAGTTTAAAGTATCTTTTTTCGTTGAGTTTACCTAAAAATTATGCCCCGATACACCTAATTTCGCCAAGCTATATTTGTAAAGGATCATTGAAAGAACTTGTTTCTCAAATTTGAGAAATCTGAAGGCACCTTTCATTTACTAGATCTTGACCTTAAGTCATAAGTAATCTTTGTGTCAAGTATCAAATTCCAATTAGCCTCCATTTGAGAGTTAGAGACAGGACGCAACTACAACACTTTTTTAGCCAGTGACCTTGAACTTGCTGGAATGACCTTGGGTAATAGTCAATACATACTATCAGATAATATGCAATATTTGTAATAAGTATGAGCCTTTAATGTCTCCATTAAAAGATACTGTACATGTATTACATTTAGCAATATAATACATTTAGCCCCTTTGGCTGAAAGCAGCTACCGTTAAATCAAGTACATCGCTAAATAGCTTATGCAGGTACTTTTATATTTAGAACATTCAGAAAGCATCAAATCAAGTCTTAGCTAACTTGTTGGAAAAGCAATTTCTGCCAAATACTGTATAATCTAAACATAATATTTTTACAGTATGGTCAGTACAGGAATTAAACATTTTTCTATAGGTGACCTAGACCTTTGATCAAATGACCTTGAGTCAAGGTCATGGCATACCTTCAGGTCATAAGCATTCAAAATTATAGCCCAGGCAAGATTGCACGGACAGAGGGACAAGGTGATTCCTATTTATCCCACAAGCTTCGTTTGCTGGGGTATAAATCTTGTAAAGCAAAATTTTAACAAAAATAATTCAAGTTAGAAGATTGATATATTAGTATTTTAAAGATGTTTTGAACCACTGAACTTGCCTTTTCTAATTTCACTAAAGAGCCAGTATCTATAAACTCTTCTATTTTCTTTGCAATCTTTTCACCAATTCCATCCTTTTGAGAAAAAAAAAATAGAGGTTCTTTCATGAATATTGTGAAAGATCAAACATGTAAGCTTAATACATTAACCTAGTAAGCACACATGGTCTATGACTGTTGACAATTCTAATATTACATATAGCACATACTGGTACATGTATAGTAATACATGTATAATGACTATTATAGCAATATTCTAAAAAATAAGACTTCAGTTTATATGTGACCTAAACCAGCACACAACACTGTATGTATAAAAATGTGTGAATTTAACAAACAAAAGACAAACTTACCAGCTTTTTAGCCTCGGCTCCACTTTTGATGCGTGTTGGGTGTTTAGCGAGGACACCTACCGCCTTTCTGTAAGCGTTATATTTGTGCATTTGTCTGTTGACATTTTTCTCATAATTTGCCAATTCTAAAAATGTAGTTACAAGTATGTATTAAATATCTATGATGGATTTTTTTTGAAAGTTTATAAATGAAACATTCCAGCAAATAAACATGATAACAGCATTCCACTAGGCTCTAAACATGCTAAAAAACAAAAAAGTATTCTGTTGAAGTTTTCATTCACTAGTTTATCAGAAAAGAACTGTGGAACCCTATTCTACAAGAGAAGTGGACAGTCATAGCCTATTTACACGTGGATGTGGAACTGCCTATCCAGAATCCACTTCTGTAGAATAGTGGAACCCAGCTGGGACCTATATGTACAGGTCCCTGAACCCAGCAACATTCAGGAAGCTATGGGTACCATTAACACCACATTATCAGACTGTATATCGAGAAAAACCTCTACGGACTTGATCTTACTGCATCAACATTTTTTCCCCATATTTTATTCAACATCAATTTTTAAAGGTTTACTCTTCACTCACGGGGGGGGGGGGGGATAATAGGCCTAACGTTGTGTGCAGTGTAAATATGGTAAATACCTTACCCATTAAAAAGTCACAAAAATCTTTGTTGGGATTATCACTTGTTGCATTCTTTCGCTTGCTCATTTTCTACAGTTTGTCTAATTTAAACAGTTAAACGAGGGCCGCTTAACCTAGAACGCTTTCTTGAATTCTTCGAACCCGAGCCGTTGTTTACAAATGGAAGGCAAGCGGTAAATCTAGTCTTCCCGATGCCCGACTGTCCCAGATTTGTTTACAAATGGAAATGGCACACGGTAAAATCTGTGCGAGTAACGACCGAAAGCAGAAGTCGCACATGAAGTATTCTGTCTTAATGCCTAAGACACGTACTTCCCTTTTACAGCTAAATATTCAATATAAACCATGATGTTAACCTTCCAAAAAGAGGACTGTAACTATTTCATTTCAAGCCTAGGGTCTGTCTGAATATGGGCCACCTTTGCATGGAGTTCATAAAATCAGCAGTTAAGCTGTTAAGTAATTGAAAATATAAGTACATGTAATTTAAAATATTCATAAAAATGTCTCTGAAGTCACAAGTTTATGTGTATTTACCCATGGTGTTTCTTCAAAGTTAATCATTATTATAATAATTAATCATATTATATAGGGAAAATTAGCAAATCTGAAATACATTTTTTCAGGAAACGTGAAGAATTAAAAGCAAAACCTATGCATCTTCCCCTAACAAATATATTTTAGGACAAAAAAAACTATAGCTAGGTATCCAGACATTCTGAGAAAATTTATGTTTTTACACTTATTCAGTATTTTAGTCCCTTTATTTACTTCAATTATTATATAATACATAGTCTAAAAAGCTTGTCCTATCATTGCAAGATATCACAGACCACTTCAAATTTCATATCATGCTAATAAAATTGGTATCTAAGGCTCGATTCAAGAAAATTCGATTTCTCTAAAAACTGTGCTTATTTTTGTACTTTTGGAGACCAGGTCTTCCAACAATCTGTTGGAATTTCCATGGGTACCAATTGCACCCCGTTGTTAGCAGGCCTATTTTTGCATTCATATGAAGCAGAATTTATTCAAAATCTTATACATGTTAAAAAGAAATCTCTTGCTATGGCCTTCAACTCGACATTTAGATTTATCGACGGCGTATTATCAATTAACTGTGGAAGTTTGGGCTTTACGGACCGTGGACATCGGCCTGGATAGCTCAGTGGTAAGAACACCTGACTAATAATTCAGGGGTCCCGGGTTCGATTCCCGGAATATGTTTTCTTCATGCATTTTCTCCTTTCCTACTACATTTGGTGGTCAGTGTGGGGGTCTTGTTCAGGTCACAGTGTAGGTGTAAATTAGTAATTCCTGGCAGGGCTCTAAAACTTGTGTCTTCAAGGTCGAAGACTGTGTAAGGAGAGAAGAATATGTGGAAGTTCAGGCTTTACGGACCGTGGACATCGGCCTGGATAGCTCAGTGGGTAGAGCACTAACTAGTAATACAGGGGTCCCGGGTTCGATTCCCGGTCCAGTCATATGTTTTCTTCATGCATTTTCTCCTTTTCTTCTACATTTGTGGCCAGTGGGGGGGGGGGGGGGCATGTTCAGGTTACGTTATGTGTAAATTAGTAATTCCTGGCAGGGCCCTAGAACTTAATTGTGTCTTCGAGGTCGAAGACTGTTTAAGGAGGGAGGGGGAATGTGGAACTTCGGACGGACCGTGGACATCGGACTGGATAGCTCAGTGGTTAGAGCACCTGACTAGTAGTACAGGGGTCCCGGGTTCGATTCCCGGTCCAGCCATATGTTTTCTTCATGCATTTTCCCCTTTCCTACTACATAACAATAGTTATTTCAATTCACATGTCGACACGATATATCCCTGTGAGCTTGAAATATAAGATACCACAGAGTCTGACACATCTGTTTCATATTTGGATATTTTACTAGAAAAAGACGTTAATGGCAATCTAACAACAAAGCTTTATGATAAACGTGATGACTTTTTTTTATCTTCAACTTCCCTTTCTTATGCAGCAATATACCCTTATCACCTGCATGTGGGGTGTATATCTCTCAGTTGGTTCGAGTTAGAGTATGCTCTACGTATGAACATTTCTAAGAAGAGGTAAGTTATTGACAAACAAGTTGATGAAACAGAAATATCAACCTCGTTTAAAATTATCATTTCGTAACTTCTATAGTCGATACAATGACCTTGTCAGCTTTATTCATTGAAATATATTTACATCCACTGAATATTAGCTCTTTTATTTCTTAAGAAAACTATTGCCGTTTATTAGTACGTGAACACCACTAAGCATATCACCTCTACAGATTTCCGGAGCAGTGGCTGTTCAATCAATGAAACGTACAATGAAGTGCATATCAATAATACACTACTATTTCATCTGTTAAATCCTATTTTGAATGAATATTTGCACAGATATACATATAAACAATAAAATATCTTTCTTTGTAAGTACGGGAATTAACATTGCAGCTTTTGCAGAAAAAAATACTTAACCCGCTTACGCGGGTTATATGCATTTTTTCTGCAACAGCTGCAATATTAATTCCCATACTAACATCCAAAGAAAGCATTTTATTGTTTAAGAAAATTTTGCATAAAAAGATTGCACTTCAAGTTGAATTTGAGGCTTTATAAAATAAATAATACTTTTAAGAGTTGTCGTTCCTAGCTGAGGAACGAATATCCTTAAACAATTTCGAAAAAAATTGTTTTTTAGGTGATTCCATACTCACACTTTTATGGGTTCAAAGTCAAAGTCAGTTGAAAAACTGCATTGGTTTCCGCCGATTAAAGTTTAGAATAATTCTATGGAGTCCGGAGAGGCCACGTTGATGCGATAGTGAACTACATGGCCCTATCCAGATTCCAACCCCACTTCCCACTTGTCAGTAATACTTATTCCAAAAACGATTTGGCTACTGCCAAAAAAAATGTCTTGAAAGAGAAGTTCAGGGAACCAGGATTTTGTAGAAAAATCGTTTTTTTTTTTTACGCCCCCCCCCCCCCCCGAAATTCCAAAACCTTACTGCACATCTACATGACAATCCCAATTATATTCCAAAACATGAATGGGCTATTGCAAAATTGTGAGAGGGGTTCAGGAAACAGAAATTTTGTGGAAAATGTCTTCTTCTTTTTTTACCCCCCCCCCCCCGGGTCAAAATCGAAATTCCGAAATGGTATTGCACATCTCAAGACACTACCAATCATATTCTAAAATATAGCTACTGCAAAAAGTGCACGAGGGGCTCGGGGTACTTTTTTAAAACATATATATAGAAAGGAATCTTATTTGACCCTCATTTAGATTAGCCACGGTGAAAACAAAACCTTATTGCACTTCTACAAAACACCTCCAATCATTCCAAAAGATGATTTGGCTACTGCAAAAAACGTAAGAAGAGTTCATTTAGCGAACCAGGATTTTTGAAGAAAAATGTCGAATTTTGACCCCTAATTGTCCCCCAGGGTGAAAACTGAAATTCTGAATCCTTATTGCACATTTACGGGTCAATCCCAATCATATTCGAAACTATGTGAAAATGTTAGAGGAGTTCAGGGAACCAGATTTCTGTTTTTAAAAAACCTTTTCTTTTTTTACCCCCACTTGGCCCTACATTGAAAATAAAAATTCCGAAACCTTACTGCACATCTTCAGGACACAATCAATCATATTCCAAAAGATTATTTGGCTACTGCAAAACATGTTAAAGGAGTTTAGGTATAATCAGGTTTTTGTAGAGAAACGTCAATTTTGATTCCCAATCACCCCCAGGGAGAAAATAAAAATTTCGAAAACTTATTGCACATCTATAGGACACTCCTAAAAATATTCCAAAAATATGAATGGGCTACTCGGATAAATGTAAGAGGAATTCAGGGAACCAGGTTTTTGAAAAAAAAAAAAAAAAAAAAAAAAAAAAAAAAAAAAATTATGACCCCCCCCCCCCCCCCGTGAAATTCAAATTACACATCTACAGAACACCACCAATCATAAAAAGGTAATTTGGCTACTGCAAAAAAATGTAAGAGGAGTTCAGGGAACAAAGGTTTTTGTAGAAAAATGTCCTTTTTTACCCCCGATTGCCCCCAGAGTGAAAATCGAAATCCCAAACCTTAGTGCACGGAACACTCCCAATCATATTCCAAAATATGAATGGGTTACTGCAAAAAATGTAAGAGGAGTCCAGGGAACCTGTTTGTTGGTTTTTTTTTTTTTTTGGTTTTTTTTGTTTTTTTTTTTTGGTCTCAGGTTTTTTCTTTCTTTTTTTAAATTGAAAACGTCATTTTTTAAACCCCATTTGTCCCTCGGTGTGAAATTGAAAAGCATCATAGGACGGCACAGAATAACAACAATATACCCGAAGTTTTTTTTTTTATATAACGTCTACATACAGTGCTGTACACTTCCTCCAAAACAAGTTTGGATTCACAAAACATCTAGAATATATGTTCAGAAATTTTTGTATATTTTTCTTTGAATTATACAAGAATTTCCATCAATTGATATCTTTTCAAAACCTCTGGTTATGCATGCTAATTTTTTTGTCTACAAACATCTGATGGCACTGTAATCTTAAATTAAGAATATCTTGAAAAATCATCAGTAGGTCCTTAAAATGCGGGCATAAACTAACAAACAAACAGACAGAACAAAAAAAAAAAAGAAACAAAACAAATTAGAACAAAAAAGAAAATAACATTGGGAATAAAGAGAGAAAAAATCTTGAAAAGATCTTTTTATAAACAGTAGGGCCAAGTTAAATCAAAGGGACGTTATGGTCCATGGGCCTTTTGTTCTTGGAATCATGGAACCGAACATACGCAGAACAAATTATTGACATCTAAACGCACCGTTTTTGACAGGTGCCTCTCTGAATGCGTTACGCCCTGATTTACATGAGTAGTCCCAAGTATAGATTTATGCTATAACTTGATAAACAAATGAACATATTTAACATTTGAAACGAAACTCTGTAAGAAAAACGCCTCTATTAAACGGAAGTGATATAAGCGGCCAACAGTGATAAGGGTTATAAGGGGTTTCCCTACAAACGTGGCGTTGTTTACGAGCGAGGACTGTAACTGACAACATGTGCGGTAAGTTGACAGACGAGCTTTATCCATTTTTTTAGCCATTGCATAAAAGAAATTTGCTTCATGGTGTATATTTTTAATTTGAGCAGTGTTAAAAAGTCGTTTGATATCTCTTTAGGACTTAAATCACACGAAACAAGATGATGCATGTATCCGACATCATACTTACAACATGTACAATAATTATTAATATAGATCTACAAATTCACTTGAAGATTCAAATGAAAAACCATATTGCAGATGTAAGATTTACACGTCTAGCATGCCAAAATATCTTTAATTCATCTTCAGATGATGATGAAATATTTCAGCATCATTACATTATCCCAAAGATGGAAATAAAGTGTTTTTTGTCTCTTTCTCAAACTACATTGGCGGATTGAGAGGCGTGGGAAAGATGAAGCATCAGTCTATAGTATTCATATTTGTGTGTTTAATAGCATAAATATCGTGTCTTATAAGAGATGTTAAAAATAGAAGATTTATGTTTTTTCCTTATAAATTTCTGTAAGTCATAAAACATTTATTTTTTTTTATTGTAATTAAATACAGTAACTCCAAGTCTGAAAAGCTCACAAAATAAACTAAAGCTTTTATTTTACGCAGCTACTCATGTCTGAAAAGCTGACAAAATAAACTATCAGAATATCCACTTGGACATCTTTTTAAATTCAATTCACTTACTGTAAATCACTTTTTATTCACAAGAACTTTATTTTCGCATAATTACGCAGGACAATGTGCTCACGAAAATTTCTTTTTCACATAAAAATTATATTAGTATTCCTAAAGATTATCTAGGGCAGTAACCACAATTTGTGAAAATTTTGTCTTGCTAGTAAAGAATAAATGTCTTTCTCGCGAAAATAAGGTGTCATGAAAATTTAGTGATATACAGTAGTTCGTTAATTATCTGATAAAATAGTTCTCTGAAACACTGATGACAACACCATTTAATGCTTGATTGTATTTAAGAAATTGAAATGTGCCAGTCTAGGTTAAATATGTAAATCTTGATGCCAATTAAACAAGTACAAGTGATTATGGGACTGCTGCTCCTGTTAATTCCTATGGGATTTTTTTAAATGTACTTTTATATATTTTGGAGAAGTCTACTTTCTTTTTGACAATGTATATCTTTTAACTGCTTTGTAATGTTGGGATTGTCTAGTTTTAAGGAAAAACCCTGGCCTGACAACTCTGAAACTTGAACCTCAGGTGCTATAATAATAATAGATATATATTTATCCATAAATTCTTTTGTGACAGAAAACCTCTTCCTGGTAGCATCTATAAATAGAAGTCTTTGAAATTAAATCAGGCAGCTCTCCAGGCTTGGCTTTGGTCTACTAGGAAGTTTAAAGTGGTTGGTGCAGTTCTGACCCAGCTCACATGGTTAAAAAAATAATCAATTTAATCACTCTGCTGATTTTGAAGTCATTTTGAAAATATTTCAGACCTGTTCATATTGTTCAAGGGGACTGAACACAAAAGAAGTTAGTAAATGAAATCTCTATAGAAAGGGAAAAAAAAAAAGAAAACCAAAAAAAAAACTTAGCTTAGCAAATTTGTGAAAAATAAATATGGAAGCTATGACACCATTGATTGATGGAGGTTAGTTTGATATATTTGAAATTATAGACGGAGCACAACTTTTCCAATTTTGTGACTGAGCACCACATATTTGTTATTTTTGTGACTGAGCACCACATTTTTGTTATGTTTTCACAATATATTTTTTTTTGAAAAATCATGGAAATTCATTTAAAATCATAGTAAAAATTATGTGTAAAATACCGATCATGATATTTTTGGAAAAAAATTGTGATATGTATCGCGATACATTATTTTTGGCGATATCCACCTCTACTGAGTACCAAGTTTTGGTATGTGAGCAGCACATTCAAATAGTTTTGTAACTGAGCACCACATTTTAAAAATAAAAAATTTGACTGAGCACCAAAGTTGAATAATTTTATGAAAGAGCACCATATTTTTTTTTATTTTTATGACTGAGCACCATGCATGCAGTACTTGTTGAATATATAATTATTACTTTAATTCAAAATTTATTTTCTAATAGCAAAATTTTAATTATGCCGTTTTATTAAGTACCGGGTACAATTATTTGAAATTAATTTGATAACATTTTTCTTTTCATTTAATTATTGATTTGTTTAAATTTTCTTGCTAATACAATGTAATGCATTGCCAAGTGAGTAGATATTAATCAGTCGGTACATAGAATAGAAATTCCCATTGTACACAGGTAGGTTAAGGCTTCCCGTAGAAAATCACAGTGCACTCTGTGTCTTTACTCCTCTGAACTACCAAAATATGACGTCATAATGGAAAATGACGTCAAGTCAATGCCAACTTGACGGGGAGAGTGTCATGAATTTTACACTTTATTTCAAATTGGATGTAAAATGCTAGATAGCTTTTGCAAAATTCATGGGTCGTTAAAGGTTTTTTAAGTCTTATATGTCTGAATATTTTAAAAATACATCGCTTACGTACCCTTGATTGAAATTCAGCATGTTTAACATCCTTACAAAAATTTACTTTTGAAATGTACTCTGTTTTATACCCGTGGTTTGAGGTAGAATTTATTTTGTATGTATAAAAGAATCTGGCGAAGGTGATTAATGAGGATTAATCTGGGATTTTTTGTGGAAATCTGTAAGAAGAGATTGTGCTCTAACTGAATCTTGCTTGGGAAAAATGTGTGATGGCTTTGTTTTAATACAGATTACGATATTGTGTGGAAAATACCCTCAAATTTGTAGGTAAGTTGAATTCCTCATGATATATTTTGTACCCAAGTAATACCATGATTTTTCCCAAGCACATTTCGGGTACACAAGGAAACGATGAGTTTATTTATATAACAAAATGTTAATAATTATTGTGTTAATCAGCAGCGCTGAAGCGATTTATGTGAAGCACTTCAAAAAATTATAAATGACCGTCACGTGATTAACAAAGTCATGTGATATCATAACAAACATGTTAATATAAAGCCGAGGGAATCCCTCTATTATATTAAATTGGAAGTACTAAAGTACAAAACTTATAAATTAAAACCAAAATCGACCTCGCAGTGAAATGTTATGATTTGAGCGCATTTTAAAGCTTCGGGAAGCCTTAAGGAAGCTCTAAACACTGCACACTAAAGAGTACTATTTGTAGGGTAGTTTTATTGAGTTAGAGTGATCTGCCCTTAGAAGAAAAATAGAATAAATGGGAATCTACAGTTAATGACACAATTTGTTATGAATTAAAGTATTCTTAATGTTATGTTAGACCAAGATTAAGTAATTGAGTACATCATTTCCATTAATTTTTCCGATGTAAGTAAACAACAGTGATTTCTGTTCACAGATAGTTCATTGTCTTTGAACATTTTTCCTGAAGAAATAGGGCAGGTACCCTATGTTGAAAATGAACTAGATACACTGAATATGTGCACCTTTATATGAAATATTTATCTCAAAGCCCAAAAAGCATTTTTGATTAGTGTTTAGAGCTTCCTTAACATAGCTGCGTACAGTAAAGACATGCAGTTACCACCTCTTCTTTTTAAATACCCATGCAACATTATGTAAATATTTAATCTGAAGACCTATCACAGTTGTAGTATTAATTTACAGGGACTAAGTCTTATAAAGCATGGAGAGAATACACAGCAATGTTTGTATAAGAGCTTTTAAGATGTGTACATGTATGCACTCACATTTTGAAGCAGACTTGCTGGTTATAACTAAATGGTCATCTACATGAGTTCATGTACCTCAAAATGCTGGAGGGCTTGACAAATTGACACCTGGGAATTAAAATATCAACCTGTAAAAATACCACTTTTTTGAAGAAAATTATAATTGAGACATCTAAATAGGCTTGATCTATATCACTTTTGATATAATCACAGTGTATTCTAACTATCTCTTTGGCTATATGATTTAAAAACCGTATTTTCACCCATTATTTTTGTTGTGAGACAAAAGAACTATTCCATGCTGGCAATAGCCTTGATCTTCTCATTGTATGGTGCATCTGATACCCATGTTAAAACCCACTGCATCATTTTCCAAGAAAATTGATAAGGATTGAGGGAGACATGAGTTTATTGCATTAAAGATTATCTCTCCAGAATGTCTTATTGTCTATCTATAAAGCCTCCCTCTTATGGGACATTTTCTCAGAAAAATTTATCTGCTTTTGTGAATTATCCGACAATAGAGAGATAAGCGTAGGGAAAAAAGGCTTGAATTAAAAGATTTCAATACTTGTCCCTAAAAAAAAGATGATGCATACAGTTAAAGAATTTTATGACTTAAGTTGCATGTGTTTACGAGACACCTGATCATACCTGTGCATTGTATTCTGTAACATCTATGTAATTCATGAATAATGAACACTGTTAATCAAGGGTGTGGGTCATAATTAATAGCACCGTAGTTAAGGACAGTGCTATTTTCATTTTCGTCAATGAGGGAGCAGTTTAAAACAATCTTAACAAATTACGTAAAACTGATCGCTCAAAATATTCCCAGACCTTAATGCGTAATGGAAGAGGATTGACCACAAAGACTGACTTTCAGTGTAAAAACTTTATTTCATTGAAAGTATAAATTCTTATGTAACAATTAAGCTTGTTACAAGAATAAATCATTATATTCAATTTAATTTGTTCTTTTCTTTTCCTCTCTATTGTGCAATGATAATGAATTTTAGATTAATAGACTTTGTAGAAAGCTGCTCTTGGTAGTATCTATTATACAGTGTTCAGGTGATTCCAAATTAATTAAGGACAACACAGGTACATGTACAAATAACTGATTTAGTGGACAGGTGCAGGCATAGTATTTAGGGAGAATGAAAAAAGAAATAAGGGCTTACAGAAAATGATCAGAATAAAACATTCTTATGTATAATTATAAGGGATGATGACAATGAAGATCAATCTTACAACAGCTGGTCTATAAAGTAAAATAAATCTTCCCTATTTAATTGTACACAAACATCATATCCTTTTAAAGATCTATAGCCACTTTTCTAGGACAAATGTTTTTCCTTTTGAAATGATCAATAATGAGAATAAAAAATTATAAACAGGTAAAAATTGACAATATCAAGGGAAAGTTGTAAAAAAACAAAAAAAAATTGGTTGTTGTAATGACATTCAGGCATGCACTTGTTTCTCACGCTAGGTATAAAATCTTAAGTCGAATGATTTACCGGTATAGGAGAATTTGAGGAAGGATCAATCAACGTGTCGTAAATTTTAAACCTGTTTTTCTGTGCTTTTTTTTTCACCTTGGTTATTCATTTATTCATTTAGGTCTGTAAGACTGTAACAGTTTGACTATATGGTGTCTGAAAATAGTTTAAGAAGACATGGTTTATTATTCATATCCGATGCATTGTAAACCTTTATCATTCAAGAGTTGGTATAAATGAAACGTTATTGTGATCTAATGATTTATGTCTGATAAAGAAGACTAGGAAGTTAGATAAGTAATCCAGTCCTGGATTCCAACATGCAGTAAAAAAAATAAATAAAGGTTGTCATTGACAACGTGCACTTAGCAAGGTTATTTGGTACTTATGTATTCTATATTGTCATCATTCAATGCAAATAATGACATAAATAATCTTCCGCATGCTTAATCACAATTCAAAAGTGCAGAAATTATCTTATTCATGCAGTAGATTACAAAATAGATGGGATTTCCCCTTATATCTTCAATAACATATTGAAAACTCTTTCTTTGGTATTTTATTTATGTGTTATTTACAGGAATATTTGCATACCTGAACTACCTGGTTCCTGCCAAACGGAAGGAAATTTTGGATATCCTTGTCAATGGATTGAAACGAATGGAATACAGAGGTTATGACTCTGCAGGTAGGTCAAGGTCACAGAATTACAAGGTTATCTAACCATATTATGAAATAAGAAATTCATTCATCTGCTTTAAGTTTGCCTAAGAAATAAGAATTGATGTTAGCAGGTAAATCATTATAGATAAACCTAACATACAAAGAAACACATTTATTTTTACAAGATTTAATCATGATGATTATTTGCAGGAGTTGGATTTGAGGGAACCAATACAAAAAATGGAGGCTTTGAACTTAAAACAATCAAACAGAAGGGAAAAGTAGCAATGCTACAGGAGGAAATTGCCCGTAAGTCAAAGCGTAATTCATACCATGGGTATCTTGCAGGTAAAAATTGTGGGATACATAATTTAGTCTTGCTTAATTCCATTCTGCTTTATTTTTAGACAGCACAGACCTTGACTTTGAGAAAGAATATGACATCCACATAGGAATTGCTCACACCCGCTGGGCCACGCATGGAGAACCAAGTCCCACAAATAGCCACCCCCAAAGGTCCGATACCACCAATGGTATGCAATTATAATGATTCTCTTATAATGAATATCAAAACGCTGATGTAACGCTAGTTGTCATGTTTCAATGCCCTGTGTTTTACTCTGTTAATTGGCATTAAATTATTTAGAGGCAGAATTTTTAATCTAACCGTATGCCAAGGGTTTATGAGGAGAGTAGCATATCAGAAACCCTTGGCTAGAGATGACAATACAGATAAATTTTGAATTATGTAAGAGGTTTGTATTTTCAGAATTCCTTGTTGTGCATAATGGCATCATCACAAACTATAAAGACCTAAAATCATTCTTGGTAAGAAAACTTTTTTTGTACTTAGTACAGTTTTCATTCACTTTCTCTTCGTTAAAGCATGTTATTTAATAAATTTTTTTTTCTTTAAATCTTAGATCTCCAAGGGATTTGAATTTGAATCTGAGACAGACACAGAAGTAATTGTGAAAATGGTCAAACACATCTATGACAAAAATCCCAGTATTTCCTTCCGAGAATTAGTGGAACTCACTATTCAGCAGCTGGTACAGAGTACAATCTATCACTTTGGACAAAATTAAGATGTTTTTTATTTCAAAACCTTTTCTTCATAGTTGTAGTAAATTGTGTAAAATGCCTTTATTATTTACAAACTGAAGCAGTGCAATTCTTTTTGTAGGAAGGGGCTTTTTCACTGGTATTCATGAGTTCTAAATATCCAGGAGAATGTGTCTCAACCAGGTATAGTGCAGTACGAGTTTTAATTGATGTGGAATGAATTATTGAAAAGGAGGCTACCCTGATACAGATCTGAACGTCATTAGTGTTTTATAGGAACAATCTGATAGCATATGTAGTGTATATTTGGTTACAAGTTAGCTGAAGACAAGAAAACACCCACTCATCAGCTAAACTAGACAATGTCCACGAAAAATAAACAGGCAATTTTAATTTATCAATTGACGTCCATGTGCTGTTTGATTTGTATAGAGATGATCTTTGTAGTGGTAGGTTAGTAGATGTTTGTTCATCAGCTGAAGTGGACAGTAAGCCTAATTTATGGCTCAGTTCTGTTTACATTGTCCCCATTTCTTTATTCTGGCAGTATATGTGTAGGTCATAAGAATGTTTACGATAGTCTGTATGCAGGGGAACATAAATAATGTCCTTGTAAAGACCAAAATCAAATTAAATTTTCTGTTTGATATAGTACATGTATAATCTTATCAAAACTCTCTAAATTCTCTACTATGTAAAGTAGAGGACAGAGTCTCTCTCTCTCTCTCTCTCTCTCTCTCTCTCTCTCTCTCTCTCTCTAAAGCTTGTTTACTAATTATCAGCTGATGCTCCATGTCTCATGAGAAACTGAATAAAATGTGTTATTTGATTCTACTTCTTCAGCAATAGCTGAACAAATAATTATACACTGCTTGAAGGACCAAAAAATGACAACTTTTTTTTTAAACAAGCTTGGTATTCTTTTGTAGACTGAGAATGTTAATGTGTGTATTTTGTGTCAGTTAGAAGTTGATCTTGTGTTGTTGATTTTTCCCCCAGGCGAGGCAGTCCACTTGTTATTGGTGTCAAGAGCAAGGCCAAGCTGTCTACAGATCACATCCCTATCCTGTATAGCAAAGGTAAACAAAATCTAAAGCAAAATAAAGCAATACTCCTCACCTCTCACCTTTTTAAATGGGAAAGAATTTTTAACATCATCGCATTATCTTGCATTTTATTTCAACACAAAACACTGTAATACAATATAAAAAGTTACATAACTACAGATAAAATAAAAACTTCAAAGACAGAGGCTACCTAAGCATGTCATGTTTGGTTATCTGTAATATCAGTAGATATGCAACACACAAAAACAGAAAAATCTGACATAGGAATTCATACCTCTTCTGTCTGTTACATACCATAAACTATTGTAAAACAATTTGGAAAGCATGAAAGTAAGAGATATATTTAAGTTGTTGTTTATTGTTGTAATTATTGTAGAACCAAATCTTTCGGAAAAGAAAGGTCTGTATTAGAATGGACAATTATTTATTACTTACATGTATAAGTACTTATATATCTATCTTGAATTATCTAGATGGTTCATTCTCCATATATTTCAAATGAGAAATTGTGATGATTAATACTTAACTCATTTAATTTTTTATTTAATTTTTAATCAGCATTCACCCATTTCTTTTGAGCTAATTGATTTATTTTAATCTATTTTTAAAAGAGAAAAACATTGCATTTTGTCAAAACAAGGTAATAGAAAAAAAATAAAGATTTCTCCATAGTAAAGGAAAATTAAGATATATTACTAATGAGGAACATTGGGGGGAAAAAAGAAACCAAAGCCTGTAGAGAAGGAGAATGAACCTGTGTATCAGTCAGTGTTGTCTCACACAAACATTTTTTGTTATTTTGCTTACCAAAGCTTGTCTTCGGGTGGGTGTAGATGATAGCTTTGGAAAATTCATGTATCAGCAAGATTATTTCAAACATAACATAAAAGACACTCAAAACATTCATTCATAGTAACACAAAGAGGACATGGGATACTTAAGTTGTTAATAATTTAAATTTTGTGTACAATTTGTCATTAAGATATTCAGATTGGTCACAGGCACCTAGAACCTTGGATCTCTCTATGTCATTTAGAAAATAGAGATCATTATTACATTTACAAAATTAAGAGAATTTAAAACTAACTACATGTATGACTTTTTTTTATTGAACACAGAATATGTTTAGTTAAAATAGTGCTCACACAATGACATACATATTTAGCACTGCAAGAGAGGCTCTATTTGACGTTAGTCACAGAAGCCATATTTGTAACCTATGCTTCATACCCCCACCATTTTCTCACTATCATCCATCTGTACAGTCCACATCCTAACTGCTTCTCACAAACTTATTTATGTATTCTTGTAGAAAGGTCCTTTATGGTCGATCACATAAGTAGACTACAACTGTTTGGTAAATGTTCGCTTGCATTTTTGGCTTTGTTATTTTTTTGAAATATTTTTTTTCAATTCACATACCACTCCGTTTCAATTTATTCACTCCATAGAAATAATTCCCCCAAAAAATTCATGTTTAACATAACGATGATGAAATAAAAATGGAGATGGAAACTAAAATTAATGGCCCTAGAAGGTGTTATGCATGTATTTTCTTGTATATGTGTACAGTATTACAACAAAAAATATAACCAATAAGCATGAAATATAACGGCATCCAAACTGAATGCTTATGTACAGGAAATTCAGTGGGTGGTATAGATAAAAGATTACCTAGTAGTATAAACATGTGTATATCTATAGAATTTCCTTGTATTATAGATGAATGAAGTAATAATTGAGTATTTAATCTAACCACTGAGTAAGGGTGGGAGGGGTCAAGTTCGAAATTGTAGAATTTGGGCACTATAACATTTTAATTTTTTGTGCATTATAATTTATTATAAATTAATATCTTTGATAAACTGAGCATGTAGTAAGTTCTATACAGACTGTTGATGGCTTGTGATTTATGCATGCAGGAGGGGACCTGTCCACAGATTCGTCAGGTAGTGAATATTGATTTCATTGCCGCTTTATAATTCTGTCTGGCATGGCTTCTCTCTTAAACAACAGCAGCAAAACAAGCATTTTTTCTGTCTTTTTCACTTAAAAGAAAGTTGAACAAGATAAATATATCACTAATAACCATTGTGTTTTATAGAGTGTAGCTGGTTTTAAATGCTTTCTTAAAAAAACATGTTTGAGGGAGATGTTTGTAGTTATAATATTTAGACTTTTTCAGCATCTTGTAAGCCAGAAAGGGATAAATACATACTGAGTAAGAAGTGAAAATATGAATGTTGCAGCATAGTATTTTTTTTAATTGTTTCTCACAGTTATTTGTAAATATTATACATTTATTGACTGGGTTCGAGGGCAACATGCGTTTTGTCGGACCCAAGAACCAAACTGTTTGCTGAGGCCGTTAGGCCGATGGCAAACAGTTTGGTTTGAGGGGTCGACAAAACGCATTTTGCCCGAGAACACAGTCAAGAAATGTTTTGTTATACCTTTTATTTATTTATTTTATTATCTTTTTTTGACATACATGACTGTATGTTGAACACCAACGAATGCAAATGAGATTTAGCTGACCCCGCCCATTATGTGATGTAAGCGGTCCAACATCTCATCGACAGGTCCAATATCTCACTCCGTGGTCAAACATCGATTTTTTTTAATGCCCGCTCAGTAAAACATTGGAAATATTAGACTTCTATTAGTATTGATTTATATAGAAATAAATTTTTAAAGGTATAACAAATATAATTATTATTATTTGTAAATAAAAAAGTCAACTGATTTTAAGAATAATGCAGTAAAATATTTATACAGTGTTTTCCTTAATTGTAATCACTGCAAAGGACAATATACATTTGAAAACATAATAATTGTAATGAATAAACAAATATGATATTCACAGAAACTTAAAAAAAAAAAGGTGTGTATTTTTATGATACACAATTATTTAATGTCTGATCAGTCAGGGGACCAAAATATTTTTCCCGAGGTGTTGGGAAAAGCTCAGTGCGTTCTATTGTCTGGGGCCAATAGCCAAGGTAAATAGGACATATTGACCTGTTCCCAGGATTGAGCGAAATGTTCAGATCTATTTACTGATCAGGCAATAGGCCTTGATAAGAAAGAATTTCTAGATTCCCCTCTCCCGCCAGCTCCGATTTTACCCCAGTCACAATTTTTTTTGAAATTTCTATTTTATACAATAAGAACCACGAACATACCTTTTTTTTAACATCTTGATTGGTATTCAACTTTCGTTTTTAATCCCAGATGTTAGTGTGATTTTGACAGCTGACAGAATGGTGTTTACAGTGTAATAGATCACAGGTCTGATTGACTGGCAGTGGCATAGATCTCGTTGAAGTTACTTAAATAATTAGAACTGATGAATATATATACAAAATAATCAAAAATACTTAAATATTTAATGAACAACAAAATCGGTTGAATTAAGGAATAAAGGCTTTATTATTTTTAAACTTGTATAAAAGTTGCATGAAAGGATGCTTATATTAACTAGTATCACTGTCTACTGAATTTTGAATGAATGACCAGGTTAAAGATTTTAAGCAGATCCATTCTTCATTTGGACAGATGATGATGTATGAAGAATACATGTACTAGATAATGTATTGTGCTCACATACTACCTATAGCTGATTACAAATATTTTAAATAATGGAACTGGTTTAAAAATGATATTTTGAATAATCCATTGGATATATGTTTCTCAATTTTGCAGGTGTAGTAATTAAAATGTTGTGTGTGCATATTTTTACACACATTTGTACATGTGGCCCATCTTGTATACTGCATGTTGCAACTTTTTGTATAACAGTGTTGTTAATGATTAAAAGCAATATATAAATTCTTTTTTTGTGAGTAAATTGCACAGGTATATTGGGTTTAGGACAGACCTTCAAAGTTTGGCTGTACAGATAATAGACTGGCCTATACATGTACATGTATAACTCACATGACATTTTTATATTTCCCCATTTCCTATACCTAATTGATTCTAATAAATTGAGCATGCTTGCTTTTAAAACCTGTGTAACCAGCCAGTACATAAGCTATGAACAGCAATTTTTTTTAACAATTAACCCAAGGCAAGAACTTAAATGAAGCTTACTGATTTTGTCTAAGATTGTGGCAATATACACTCTATATACTGTCTAAAGTACAAACTAAAATTTTAAATATTTTCAAGGTTATACAATGTCTTTATGAGTTGACAGCTTAAAATCTGGGTAATATTTCAAGCATCTTGGGGTAGACCTGTAATTAGTTTTTCTTTGTTCAAATTCAGGAAGTAAAAATACATTTTGTTTGGATTATGTACATACTTAACAATTCAAAAATTTAAAGGGAAAGATTAGGGAAAAATTGTAAGAAGTGAAGTCCAAGTAGAGTAAAAAAAAAATCCCATGGAAAAGGTTACTTAATTGACAGACAAAACAAACAGGATTTAAAAAAAAAAATTTCTAAGCTAACGACTCAGATGAAATGTGTGTTCTGAACCATTAGAAGTAAAAATTTTAATGAAGAGAAATACATATCTGTATATGTTAACAGTCAAACTTGATTCTAGAAAGAGTATGTGTCAGCTAAAGCTCATATTTAATTAATAACTCAAAAAAGAGATGCATGATCAAGAAGAAAATTATCTTTAAACTCCCCTGCATATACAGTCGAACCTCATTATTTCAAACTCGAAAGGACCTAGAAAATACTTCAAGATTACCGAGGATTCAAGATATCATATACAGGGTAAAATACTTAAAGCAATATGAGCTGCAACTTTGATGTCGGAAATTTTTGTTGCAATATTGTAAATAACTATTTCAATGACAGAAAAAAAAGAACGTTTATAAACTTTTCTTGTTAATATTATCAATGGAAAAACTAATTTTAAGCTTTGATTGAAGCAAAATTAAATTATTGTCATCCTGTACAATATTGATTTCTTATATAATACTATAAATTCCATTGTACAGAAATCTTTCTTTTGAAACAATTTAATACTTTAATTCAGTCTAATTGATCATAAAGGTTTAAGTTATGTACAGATTTATCATATTAGCACATTTAAACAGCAAAATAAAATTCTCAAAAATGCAGCTCATATTGCTTTAAGGAATAAGCATTTGGGACTTCAAAATGACTTCGACATATCCATGGTATTTAAGATATCCCTGTTCGAGATTTTGAAGTTCAACTGTATATATATATATATATATATATATATATATATATATATATATATATATATATATATATATATATATATATATATATATATATATTAACAATCAGTTACTGGTACAATGATACTAACAACAGCTAAAACTGTAAAATTGCACTCGAACTGTTGACAGCTTGTGATTTATGCATGCAGGAGGGGACCTGTCCACAGATTCGTCAGGTAGTGAATATTGATTTCATTGCGGCAGCCACTTTATAATTCTGTCTGGCATGGCTTCTCTCTTAAACAACAGCAGCAAAACAAGCATTTTTTTCTCTTTTTTTGTATCAAATTAAAGTAGAATGTATTTATTTATATCTTGAAAGTAATATTTGTGACTGTAGTGTGTAGCTGCTTTTTACAAAATACAAAGTTTAAGGGGAAAACTTTTACAATTTTAATTACAAAACATCCCTTGGAAATAATACATCTTTATATTACCCTTACCACCTGCTTAAGGAGTTCATGTCTCCCACTTGACTCAATACGCAAGAGCATGCTCTACGTATAAACAATTTCTAAAATGAGGCAAGCTTTTTACAAACAAGTTGATGAAACAAAGATTTCAGTCTTGTTCGAAGTCAACGTTACGCAAGTTCTATGGTTGATTCAATGATCTTGTCAGCAAATACAGTCTATCATTTAGTTGAATGCTGAGTGACATTTTTCATACTAATTATTAAGCCATTATTTATACATTGAATTTTCTATGGATTTTTCCATTTGCCCAATCATGACAAGGAACATGTCAGGTGTGACCAGTCGACAGAGGATGCTTACTCCTCCATGGCACCTGATCCCACCTCTGATGGGATTTGCTCTGCTCCTGATTTATATAGTTTCAATGGACTTTTGAGCTTGATTACTGTTCGTTATCTCCATATTTCATTATATTTGTAATAGTGAGTAATATGTAAAATTAGGGCATTTCTTCTCAAAAAGTAGATTATCAGGTTCTTATGAAATCTGCTACCAAATAAATCTTTTATTAATTAAGTCTATGTGTAGACTGCTAAATTTTATTTTCAATTTATAATCCTGACTAAGCTGAAGGCTATTTTTAACAGTACCACCCCCCCCCCCCCCCCCCAACACACATACATAGGAAAATTAATTGACCGATGTCAAACTGAAAATTATTCAATCAGACTATTAGTTTTTAATGTAGAAGTAAGTATATACTATGTTTATGATAGATTTTTAACAATTTTTAATAGGAATTGAGAATTTAATAACTGTCTTTGATAATTAATACTGGGGATGTACAGGGTTTTTTTTTTTTTACCTTGTTATTTTTTTACTAGTAAGTGAGAGTAGAATTTAATTTTTCATCTATATAATTTTTATTTACTTATTTTTTTTTTTTTGGAGTCCTATGATTTTATGTCAGTGACTTCATTTTAAAAGTTTTAAGATTTTTATATAAATAAGAATCTATAAAAGTATTGTGTACTAAAACAATAATATTTATTAATAAGCTTTTCTGCAATATTTTACTTAAATGTTTATCTGGCAAGGGTAATGCTTACAAGTACAAAAAATAATTGATATAAATTCTAACAGACACAAGAGTTATATATTTAGATATAATGGATTCAATAAATGTTCATATTTGCTGATTTAAAAATGGAAAGCTTTTAACACTGAACTAAAAAATAGATAAGTAATTAAATAAAACCATGAAAATAAAAGTTATTGAAATTACTCTGTCAGGAAATGCTTTGGATTTTGTATTGAAATTCATTGTTAAAATATCTGTATCTTTGGGTATATTGTATACTTGTGTATGTAATTATAATATATTAAACAAAATGTACAATATATACTATATACAAAGATTATACATCTATATGTAGATTATTGTATAATGCATGTTGCATCCTCAGGCTACTTATTGTAATATGCAAATACCGGTACACTGTAAATGATAAGAAATAAATGTATTGGTTTTTTTTTTTTAAAGACATAATTAATAGATAAAGTGAAAAAAGCCAAATGAACAGTCATAATTTTGATGAATATCAATACTGATCTTGAAGCTTAGGAAAGGTTTACTATAAAATTAAGAGAAGATTGTGGTAAGTATATGTTGTTGGGAGGGGGTGGTGTATAGTGATTTGATGTGAACAGAGACACACATTGAGCAGTGGATCATTTCACCTCTCCATGGATCAGGCTATGTTTGTATCTATAGGATTATTGTGTTGATTCCCATTACATGTACACTGTATGATAGTTTCACTTAAGAGTAGTTACGCTGATTTTTTTTTTTTTTTTTTTTTTTTTTTTTTTTTTTTTTAGTTCAGAATCTTGCATTTTATAAATAATGTGGAATAAATTGACCATATATACTATTGAAAATGATCAAAGCAAATTTTTAAGTAATCTACACCTATTGAACATAACTTATGGAACAGTATATGAAAAAAATCTCACAAATAGACATTGACTGAAAGAGGTTTAATTTTATGTTCTCTATGAGTAGTTAACTAATTTAAACATCTTGAAAATAATTCAAGGATTTTAAGTAGGATTTAATTACGTGTGACTCAAGAACAAAATGCAGTAAATATTTAAGGGGGGGATCTCTTAAATAAAGAGAATTTTTAAACTAAGATCCCCATACAACTTTCTCAATTAAAAGCCTCGAGTAGATATGTGTCTTATGATTCAATTTTTCAAAGACTAAAGATTATATTTTGATTTGATTTAGATCACCGGGGGTTAATGAACCCGTCCCTCCATCACACGGACAGTACGACAGAATTCCATCCAATAGGAAACAAGGAAGTGGAGTATTTCTTTGCTTCGGATGCCAGGTAATTTGTCAATGAAAGCTTAAACAAATTAGCAAAATATGAATAAGTATACAATTTCAAACTTCTGTCTTCATTGTATAATTTGAATATGCACAAAATTCCAGTGTCTAGTTCTAAGAAAAGATGTGTATTTATTTCTGACAAACTTGTGATACTATCTGAAGCAACATAACAATAGAATGTTTTCTTTAATTTCATGAATTCAAATAGAATGCAAAGCATTAAGTTTCACATATTTAACACTAGACTACGTCTTTTGTAAAACAAATGTGGCTGGATTTACAAATGAACCATTCTCTGCCGTGGAATGAAATTTTAAAAGCTTTTAACAATCCCAGACACTAATTTTTTGTTCATTTTTTAGTCCCATATATGAACACATTGTGACATTTTATATTTAGATAGAAACTTTAATTGTAGAGCTCAGTTTCATCTTATATCATTCTTTAAATACAATTTAATCTTTTCTAATTTTAGTGCAATAATCGAACACACCAATCAGGTGATATTTCTGGAGGATGATGATGTAGCGGCTGTACAAAATGGTTGTCTTACCATTCATCGAATCAAACGTACCCTGGATGAATCAACAACACGTGAAGTGACCACCATCAAAATGGAGATCCAACAAATCATGAAAGGTATTTATACAATCTGTAATCAGTTCAACACTTCTTCTCTTATGAATGTAAATAAAGAGTGTCATTTATTAATCCCCCCTGTGCTTTAAAAGTGGGGGGGGGTATATAGTGATGGGGTGTCTTACTTCCCTCCATACATCTGTTACACTTGGAGGTAGACATCGCTTATCTGCAACTCCTATAACGATGAATAAAATTTAATGACACTTTCACAGAATTTTTATTTCTGGTATATAGTGCCATTGTGCACCCTCTATTTTATCTTTTGATTCAGACGTATATCTGGGGTTTCCCATAGCAAAACATGAACTTTGCCATTATTCTCAAATGGGAGCAGGGAATATCAGTTTGAGAGCTCAGTTCTCACAGTACTTGAAGTTTTAATTAAATTGTAAATGTTAGTTTAAAGTTCAAGGAAAATAATTTAATATAAAATTTTGCTGTATTCAATTAAGATCTCTGTCAAATCTTGTTTTGAGGTGAGAAAACCTGCATCTTAGTCTCGTAAACGTTTTACAGGAAGCTACAGCTCGTTCATGCAGAAGGAGATCTTTGAGCAGCCAGAGTCAGTGGTAAATACGATGAGAGGGCGTGTGAACTTTGACACAAATCGAGTTGTTTTGGGTGGAATCAAAGACTTTATGGTTGAGATCAGAAGATGTCGAAGACTTCTATTTATAGCTTGCGGGACGAGCTATCACAGTGCAGTAGCTGTAAGTTCTGTTAATTGAAATATGAAAATTTAGTATTGTGTTTTCATTTTAGAGAAGTGGACTCTCTTGCAATGTACAGAATGTTAGTCTCTTCTGTTAACAAAATGACTTATTTCTTTCTTTTTGAGATCTGCCTTGAAATTTAAATTATCATTGCAAAATTGTTGGTAGATCCAGATTGATCTTGTGGTAAAAAGAAAAGTAACAGCCATAGATTGTTTATTAGAAGAAACTCAATCATTTGATGAATGTTTTGTTTTCAGACAAGGCAGCTGATGGAAGAGTTGACAGAACTCCCCGTTGTGGTGGAATTAGCAAGTGACTTCTTGGACCGGCAGACACCAGTGTTTCGGGATGATGTCTGTTTTTTTATCAGCCAGTCAGGTATGAGAAAATGGCTTACATATAGACAAATGGACAAGGTAAACATAGCCTTCATTAATCAGTAAGGTATGGATAAACAAAAAACAGACAAGGTAAATTGAGACTGAAATAAGTCAACTTCAGCTATTTATATAAGGAACAGTTCACATATGGAATAGCAAAAAGAAACCCAGATAATCTTTTTGTATTTTAGTCATTCACCTTGCATTACATTGGTCGTTTCAAAGCTTGCAGGTTGTAGATTGGATGGTCATGCTGTACATTTTTTATTGTACAGTTCAAGCTTATTTGTATTTGATGATATGTAGTTTAATTTTCTATCTTTCCCAGGTGAGACAGCAGACACTCTGATGGCCCTGCGGTACTGTAAACAGCGGGGGGCATTGATTGTGGGGATCACTAACACAGTGGGCAGCAGTATTTGTCGTGAATCTCATTGTGGCGTACATATTAATGCTGGACCAGAAATTGGAGTGGCCAGTACAAAGGCAAGATATCTATCTCTAGTTGTCATTTTAACCTTCATGATCAGAAATAGAAATTTTTAGAACTTCATTAATATACAGTTTTGATTAGTGTTTAGTTTTTTTCAAATAATGAGGGTTTTCTGTAAGTTGAGGATTACATGCTTAAAATTCTTGATGGCTTTCACTGCCTCTTAAATTTATTCATTTATTCCTTTTGTATATTTTAGGCGTATACCAGTCAGTTTATCTCCCTTGTGATGTTTGCTCTTGTAATGTGTGAGGACAGAATCTCAATGCAGGAAAGGAGAAATGAAATCATTCGGGGACTCAAAAACTTGCCAGGTAATGGTGGCAATAGTATGAGATGGGGTCAGAATTTAACATAAATATTGTAACAACACTCATAAAGATGCACAAAAATAAGTAATTGTACTCCTTAAATGCAGAAAAATTACAGTAGAATTGCATTGGGAAATTTGTGATGCGAGAAGAATGCATTTATTTAAAAATGACGAAAATAGTATCAATTTTAATACATATTGAAAAGAGATTCTAGATTATCAAGAAACATAAATGGTTTTGTATGTTTTGTGAAGAAGATGTCTATAAGCACATTTCTGCTGTAGATCAAATTAAGGAGGTTTTGAAGACAGACGAACATGTGCACACTTTGGCCAGAGAGCTGTACCAACAGAAGAGCTTGCTGGTGATGGGGAGAGGATATAACTATGCCACATGTCTAGAGGGAGCTCTGGTGAGTACAAGTGTAAATTTGTTAAAACAATTTGACTTCATGTGCTTCATGCTGTTGATAATACATGCACTTTAGATTCACTGTAAATGGAATCCAGACCATTTCTTCTCTTTTATTTTAACAAGACATTAGCAAAACTCTATACATTTATGGGCTTCCATATTGGGTATACAAAGCCCACTGTCCAATACGACAACTGTGCAATCCGGCACTCTGGACTTTCCGACCTCATATTTTATTCCCCCAAAAATCTTTATAATTTATATAGAATAAAACACTGTATATTCCGACCACTGTACATTCCGGATTCCGGCGTTTTTTTCTCAACAAAACTAGATAATTACTTATGATTTCACCTGAGTAATCCGACATAATTACACTGGGGTACCGTAATTAGCCGCTGGCCAGTAAACTTGAATGTCCCGTTTGGTCACAAGATTGGTCTACTTAGAGAGTAGATAATTACATGTACATGAATTTGAAAGTGTTTATGTAAGCTTTTGAATTCCAAAAATTAGGCAATCATTTCTCTTTTGTTGTTATCAATTTTATTCTCGCATTGACAAAAAAGCATCCACACGACAGAAAATAGAAAAGAGTACATGGTATTTAGATTGCCTTTACCTTACAGATCAAATAAGATTTTTAGCTTGAAATTAAAATCAAATATGCAGTCAGAGTTCTTCATAAAGCCTTGTAATGAAAAAAAAAATGTGTACGGCGAACTACTGTGTAACATGTACACAATACACAATTTGAAGGCAGCATCTTGTCTAATGGACAATTCATTTCCGGGTTAATATACACTGAATAAAGCAAGGCTATACACATAAAAGATTTGCCGGAAGAAAACAATACCGCTTTAAGTTGCCCATTAAATTTCAAAATATTACGTCTGTTTGATTTAAATTCAATCGCAATTACAATGTTTTAGAGTTATGTCCCATTTGTATGAAAAGTCTTGTGACGGTATTAATAGCATAGTCTATGTTGAGAAATAAACAATGGCGAAAATCTGTAGAAAAAAAAAATACCACTGTGTAGAGAAGGTAGACGAAATACTTACTTTAATATCTACTGTCAGTAAGTAAAAATTAAATTGCAACATTTCGAAGCAATTGGGATTTCCATCTGTTTTGTCCATTAAAAAAATCATCATATATTACTACAGAGTTTACTAATGATATATCCATCACAAATGCTGTTTGTCAAAGAAATGCTAATCAGGTATATTTTATACAACAAAGAAATACACAATCATGCAAACACTTTGACAATTAAATACATGTGTATGTAAACCTAATGAAAAATTATTTTTTTTGTATGAAGTCATCTGATACTAATGATTATGCTCAGCAATATTCAACACTGGGTAATCCAACACACTGCCTAATCCAACATTGATTTTATTTCCCCCAGCATGTCGGATAAGACAGGTTTCACTGTATTAATATAAGTTTTAATATTTTAACACCAGTTTTTAAAAAAAAAAATGTGCTTCTTCTATCTGATGACTAAGAGATTATACTTGCTGATCCATTAGAGTTATCTCCCTCTGACTGCCTCGAGCCATTGTTAACCTCTACAACTCATAGACCCCATAATGGAAATTCACATTTTCCTGTAATTAAAATGAAATTATGATTCCTAATTGTGTAAATTAGTACATGTCAACTTGTATTTTATATTGATGATGGTGAACAAAAATTATATGTAACCCATTTACATTAATAGAAAATAAAAGAATTGACCTACATGCACTCGGAGGGTATCCTAGCAGGAGAGTTGAAGCATGGACCCCTGGCCCTAGTGGATAAAGCCATGCCAGTCATGATGGTAGTGACCAGGGACAAGGTCTATCCAGTAAGTATTGACCAGTCATCCAACTCATTTATAGACTAAAATTTTGCTAATGATTTCCACAGGAACTGGAATGATCAAGGTTGTATGTGTACCTTTTTCACTAGCATTTTGTGATACAGGAGTTGAAATGCTTGTTTGATAGTAAATTACATGTTTGTTTGTATTTTTATATACCAGCAAAATTATAGATTTGACATGCATTTTTTTTGTAGAAATGTATGAATGCTCTGCAACAGGTCAAGGCCAGACATGTAAGTATCCTTGTTACCTTAGCAACCATTCTCAATAACATAATATCAGATTTATGTTCATAAAGGAGAAAGAAAACTTTTTTTTATCAAAATGTGAACAAAGTAAGATTTTGCATTTTTAAAGATTTTTATTATAGAAACTATAGTCCATCGGATGTGTCTGTGCTTTGTGCCAGATCCTTAACTCAAGTGTAATTTTTCTCCAAGCAGGACTGCAATTATACTGAACAATCTCGTTTTATAACAAAAATTGATTGCGATTCCTTTCCAGATTGTAGTCATGACATGAGGCTAGCACTACAGACCACAAGACTCTTATCTGTTGTTCTTCTGTGTACTATACAATGTAATATCAATGTCTGTCTGACCAGTATACACGCATGTTGTGATCCTGTTTGGCTTCCATTTCTTTACAGAGAAAAAGATTGATTCTTGTCTTTTTTTTTGCAGAAAACTGGTACTGATTTGCTGTTTTCTAGTATGAAAATTTAGTGATGAAATACCATGTTGAATTCACAAGTTTTTGTTTTAGCTTTTAAAAGTAAAGCCTGAAATTTTCTCTGAGCCATCTTTAACGGTTTTTGAAATGCTTCTAGTATAAATTTGATTTGGCTTCTTCCTTGCTGAATTGAATTCTTCATGCTGGAGAGAAAATTTGTCTTCTGCATAATTTTTTTCATTGGCCTCCATTTATAACAGTATACTTTATTTACATTCAAAAACTGAATGTCAATAAGCATTGAATAACTGCATGTATTGTAATCGTGATCATACACTTGTCATAAACTCCAGATGGATTGGCTTCCAGTTATGTCCACGAAAAGCAATTATCAATGTAGACAGTTTTAACCAATAGCTTCCTTCCATGCATATTACATCACAAGATATAGACTGAGGCATGTAACCTAATGACACTGTGTTTGTTGCTAATAGAAAATAAGAATTGATGTAGACTTTCTGTAGAAATTGTCTTATTTCTCATTGTCCATGTATAAATATAGATTTTTGTCTCAGCAGCTTTATATTACTAGAACATATCCTGTCAAGCATGTTCCATTGCAAAGTAAGACTAATTTGCATGTTGTCATGACAACACTGATTATTCATTGTAGGGTAATCCAATAGTATTAGGCAATACTGATGACAAAGAGACGCAACAGCAAGCCAATAAGTTCATTGGTGTTCCGTCTACTATAGACTGCCTACAAGGCATCCTAACCATTATACCAATGCAGTTACTGTCCATGCATATCGCTCAATTGAGAGGATGTGATGTAAGATTGGTTAAGAAAGTGACCCACTATAGTCTAGAGATATCATAACCAGATTGCTGTTCTTTGCATGCTTAGATTCTATGTATTGTCTTGTATATATACTCATTCTTCTTCTGTAGACTCTCTCTTTATGACAAAATCTGTCTCATCATGCACAACTCATTTTGTTATGCAAAAAAAAAACAAAAAACAAAAAAAACAATGTTTTTCAAAAAAAAAATTAACAAAATGTCTGGTTTATGTGTCATTAGTATTTTGAGTTTTTTTCTGCAGTATAAAGTTGTGTAGAGATAAGACAGACATTGTATGTGTGTAGTGCTTGTCTAGTGTCCGCAGGCTACAAAGGGCAGTGCATGTGTAGTGAGTCCATATTTAACACTATCTCATCAACTGGTATCCTTTTAGGGGCGTCCCGTTTTACTTTGTACCAAGGGAGACACAGAAACACAAAAGTATGCATATAATTATGTGGAGGTTCCCCCAACGGTAGATTGTCTTCAGGGGGTACTCACCGTAATCCCCATGCAGCTGCTCTCTTTCCATATAGCGGTACTGAGAGGATATGACGTAAGAGAAGTTATTGCATGTGTTTTGTTTTTTATCACCTCTCAGAATTTAGAATATGAAGAAATGTCCAACTTTTCTGGGTATTTTGTAAGAAAGCATCTACTACTGAGCTTTCCTATTCTCTGAATTTCATAGCTTAAAAATAAGATATTTGCATATTTATAAGTGAATGAAGGAATTTGTGAAGTTGTTTTACATTGATTTGCATTTTCATTAGAAGCTATTTAATTTGTTTCTTACTATCTCTTTCTCTTTAAAATTTGTATTTCCCTTCCACACATGCACATTTCACTAAATGTTTCTTTTTTTAATGGGTTGAGCTTTGAAATGGTTTTACGTTACATTTATGTAGCTTACTTTTTGAATACAAAAAGAACTTAAGCCTAAAAGCAATGGTTGGTCCCATGGTATCTGTAGGGAGCTAGATACACCATTAATCAAAGAGCTAGTATGGGGTTTAGCAGCTGTATGCATATTCTAAAGCTTTATTGGTGAAAGCAGGTGATGGAATTTAAACTTGGAAAATGAATTCTCCACTACTTAATAGGGAACTCAATTTATATTGATAAATTCTCTATTTTCTCAGTAGCCATAAGGTCTATTTTTAGTTTATCATATTTTAATACACTAATAATTTGAACATAAAGTAAGTGCAAAAGGAGTTTGGTTAATATGCAAGGTTATACCTATTTGAAGGCTTTAAGTATAGCCATAAATATGTATTTATATTTGTATTGCTCTTATTTAATCTAATTAGGAGCTAGGCTGTTATGAAGTGTCCTGTAAAACACTGCTACACATATTTTGTGTATATTTTTGCAAGCACATCTCATTTCAATAATCAATAAGTGTTTTTGATTGGTGTGATATTAATTTTAACTTTTTTTTTGTTTAACTGTTCTCATACTGTTTCACCTACATGTACTATAGTGGGTTATAATTTATAAATTAAGGTACATATATGTTTGTACAAGATAAATATAATTCACATGTACTAGTATAGACAGAAAATTTACTTAACTAAATGAGCAGAGAGAAAATCACTTAAATAAGTTTCAGGGAAAAAAAGAAATGTGGAAAAAAATATTTTAATTGATTTTATTTAGCAATCAAATACACGCATGATAAAAGGACAAACTGTTTAGAATCGCAAAAATTTCAGTATCAGCTTCATTTTAGGGAGTGATTAATAAGAATGTCCGCATTGCTATTTAGATGACCAGAGTCTCTAATCTCTAATGGGTAACCTAGTGGTATCTTTATGTCTATCCGCATAATAACATGGTTAAGTTCCTCATTAGAACAAACTTGCCTCGAAGCATTCTTATGGGATGGGATATAATTAAGAAATAGTAAAAAATAGCATGAGGTCATTTAATTATCTCCTTCTCAAGAACTTGGAATCAGAAATGACAAGACTTAAATGAAAGCATCTTCATGTGATGGAGATTCAGTTTAACCCAGGATGGGGCTTCAAAAGAAAAAGTTAACATAAATATACAAAGAAAATATCGAAAAATCTCCTCACAATCTACAAGGGAAGATAATGTAGGGAAGAATATTTGTTCAAATCATGGTCTGGCCAGGATGTTGCCACAAAGAAGTCAAAATTTTTGAAAAAAAAAAAAATAATATAGGACATTCTTCAAAAATTTCTTTAAGATAGACAAGACTGTAAATGCAAACATATTCTTGTAACTGATATTCAGATTTGTTCAAACCTGCATGCTCCCAAGAGGAGATGGTGATCGAATTGCTAGAGGTCAATTTAAACAGGAAAAACTTGGAGTTTTCTTGAAAGTAACTAGGGTACCAGTGTACCAGTTAATGGTATTGAATTATCATGCAAACAACCTTGTTAATAGTTTAGAATAGAATTATCTGAATCCTGACCCAAAGGATAAGCATGTGAACATTAGTGGAGGGGTGAGGCTGTGGGTAATGCTTACTAATCTAATATTTAGAAATATTTTTTCTCAAAACTTCTAATGAAGAACAAAACAGCTACAATTTGTCATATAAGTACAAAAAAACCTCATTGTGTAGAAGGCCCTGCCTCAGGAAGAAGTTGCAATATGATACTCTGGAAGTCTCTTAATAATAAAGTCACAAATAAAATGAGGTTGATTTATAATTATATCTAACCCTAACCTTGTTTTTCAGACAAAATTACACATTTAACTCCAAGATACGAATTACTGAGTGAAAAAAAATTCTGAATTTAATTGAAGATAAATAAACATTTCTTAATAAATTTTTATTGAAATTGAAAAGATAAATGATTTTTGCATTAAACATTTTTGATACTACAGGTGGACTGTCCGAGGAACCTCGCTAAAAGTGTGACTGTGGAATGAACGAAATAAAAAAAGGTACACAGCACGACGTCTACGGTTCTGAATGAGCTCATCATGTGCTTAATTAAATAACTTTTTTATTTATTCTATGGAAACATTTCTGTCTTTCTTGGGGAGGGAGGTTTTTGATTTTTCTCTGATTTGGAAAGTTAAAAAGTAAAATGAATGTGCATGTAAATATGGCATGACCTAGGGTATTTTCATTTATTAAAATGTTTTGTTTTTCTTAAAATGATTGGACTGAACACTTGAATTCAAATTTGTTATGACTTTAAACTTTTAAATTAGTATATTCTATATTAAAAGAAATATGTTAATATTGTAAGGATAAGGACAAGTCATGCTCAACAATGATAATTTTTATTTCTTAAAAATAATGTTTTCCCATTAGTTTCCAACAAAACCTCTTTTCCATCCATTATATACTTTATTCCTTTGACCTCTGCTATTTTTGTTTATTGTTACGGGCTGTAGGGCTTTTGCAATTGTTTGTAAGACCTTGCTAGATTGCCTGCCACAGTTGAAGAAGTTAACACACTCGGTAAAGTGTAGTCATTAATTGCATGTCAAAATGCAGCTGTAAGGAACAAATTTAATAGTTTAATGAAAAAGCATGTAGAACATTATAACCATACTGTTGCTTGATCAGTAGTCAAGATAATGCATGTTTAGTACAGGTGTCTACAGAAATACACTGTTCATGATCATCTTTCATTAAATTTCAGGTGGATCGTCCTAGAGGCTTACTGAAGACTTACACATTTTAGGAAGAAAACAAGTTGGTCACAAATTAATCAAGGTCAGAGGTTAAGGTCACATTTTTTGATGACAGTGTGGGGGACCAAAAGGAATTACCATAAACTGTGTATGAAAAATGCTGTATATAACACTGTATGATTATATTGTGATGTAATTATGGAGCTTGGACACTAGATCTGCCTAAGAATTATGATTTTATGTCTGGATTCACATATCAGTATTTGTCTAGAATTCAACATATTTGTCAAATAATTTAATAACCGGTATTTCATTATATAATGTAAAAATATGTGGCATTGAACATCAACATTATGTTTTCTGAGTGGACTTTTGTAGACAATATGTTACCTAGCTATGCTGTTGCAATTTTTTCTGTTATTTTTTTTGTACGTTTCACTACATACAAGATATGTACCATTATAATCTGTTATTTTTTCCCCATTTTTGTTTTTATATGTGTATTTTATTTATTCTTTTTTCCTTTTCTTTGAATTTTAAGAGACTTTTATTATTTCCTTCATAATTTTGTTAGATCTTAAAAGAAAACCAAATATTTTACAAACTGTTTACTTATTAATATGTATTCTGTTAGATCTGTTCAATTTCTCTTGAATAAGAATTTTCAGACTTGATTGTAAAGCAAAACAAAATGTAAATCTGTTGAAATGTATAGTTTAAAAAAAAATGAAAAATACCAATATTAAAGATAAAAGAGCTTTGTTTATATGTAAACAAATGTGATGTAACTGATAATAATATGTGATAAAGTTATGTAAATTTATCACACTATAAAAAAACTCTTTGATCCTATTAGATAGGAGATTTAGAGAATGTTTACCAAAAGAACATTTACACATGGCCTATATTTTTCTTCATCTGGTTTTCCTAATAGACAATCTTTTGACATGATCACCATGCATGGCCTTATAAAGTAACTAGTCTTTAATGCAAAATCAGGAAAATTTAGATGCATTTCTTTTAGTATTTGGCAAGGGATGCTATGAATTTTTTATTCCAATTGGAGAGCTTTTGTAGAATGAAGATGTATCAAAATCATTTACATATAATCGTATTTCAGTATAAATAATTAAAATCAGGTCAACAGTCAGGGTTTGTTCGACAATCAGAAAAAAACTCAACAAATTTTGGATAGTACACTATCTCTATGTTACCTTTTAAAGTAGCCAGTGTACACTGTAGTGAGAATCGTATTATTTTTCTTCAGAAATTTCTCTTTAACCTCAGTGTACATTTCCTTGTGTACTGAATATCTTTAGAGGTTGATTTATTTTGATTCAGTTAAAACTGATTATGTAGTTGATCTTATTATGATTTATGGGAGATATGCATCACTATATATTGTGTTAAAAATTATCATAGTACATGTAATTATATATTGCTTACCCTGTGGGATCTGCTGTAATAAAACCATAGAATGTTTTAAGCATCTAAGCTATGTGAACAAAACATTGAGGGAAAATACAGGATAAAAACACTGGTGTCTCTTTTCTTTTTGTACCCTACAATGGGGCATGGAATATTGTAACCTACAACGGGGCATGGAATAAGGATAAGGTGTGTAAATCAAAGTTCCTGACAGAAAACATAACTGTGTGAGCCTAAGGTTAAGAAAGCAGTTGTGTCAACATTTCTCTTACAGAAAGGACTATATTCTGTAATGACCAATACAGTAAAACTCGCTTATAATTGAATTGTCAGGGACAGATGATTTTAATTCGTTATAAGCGTTATTCACTATATCCGTAAGTATCACAATACAGTTTAAAGTTACGGGGAATGAAAGTCACTTCGCTGTAAGCATCAATTTATTATAAGCGTATTCACTATAAGCGTGTTTTACTGTATCTGCCCCCAAAATCAAACTTTGATGGAGAAATCTATTACCTATTATGTTCTAAACCAGGGGTATCTGCAGACTTGAGAGCATTGCCCATTTTCATCAGCCATGACGTCTTATGTTAGATATGACGTCAAGAAGGTGACGTAAATTCAAATTTTCAATAATTCTGAGAGAAAAGGGTGTATTTTACGTCAATATTTTGAATTAAGGTCATTGAGTGCAGGTCTGCCCTAGCTCTATCTTTTGATATAATGTGTAGAACTATATTATCAATCAAATATGTGAAAATTGTTCTGGAGCAAGCTTGCAAAAATTCTATACTCAAAATTGAACAAATTTTGTCCTTTGTCTTGAAAATAACAGAAAATTCAAATAGTTTGTGACGTCAGAGAAAAAAGGCATTGACGATTATCTACTTCCATACTTTAATAATTTTTGTTAGTTAAGAATCTTCATACAATATATACAGTTGTGTACATTAATTTCTAGAGATTTTCAAAATTTTCCTTTTATGGGGCAAAAATATGCTTTTACCACATATAGTTCTTTTTCAGAATTAGCATACTTATTACTACATGTATACAGTCACTGAATCAGTGACTAGGGTTTTGTTAGGTCATCTTGATCCACTGAAGCTTATTCATCATTACTGTATTGCTAACTACTTTGTGTTCTTTTAGGCCCGTAGCGAGCAATTTCGGGGGGGGGGGGGGGGGGGGGGGGGGCACAACTTAACAAAAATTTAGACAATTAAGCAAAAAAAAAAAAAAAAAAACAACTTATAATAAATAAATTTTAAAAAGTCATCAGACAGTATTTTTGAGGGGGCTGATATAATCGTAAATTCGCTTGGTTTTCTGTTGTATATATGATATAGGAAAAGGAAACATATATATGGTACTGAGCGGACATAACTGTAAAATAGCTTAGTTTTCTCCTGTAAATACTCGCAAAATTATTTCGGGGGAGGGGGGGGGGGCACGGCCCCCGTGCCCCTCTCCTCCGGTTCCAACGGGCTTGTCCTTTACATCTACAGGTAAACTTCGTTATCTCGACATCGACGGGACCATCGGAAAATGTCGAGATATCCGAGGTGTCGAGATATCAGAGTTGAGACTTGACGTCCAAGATTTCACATACATGTGTATAAGCTTATTATACGTACATGACTTCAATATAGACTGTAGGTCAACTTATTTCAGCAATCCCTCTAAGAAGTTATTTTTAAAAAATCTTATTTATAAAACCTGTTCTTTCTCTTTATCGAAATCGTTCTAAATTTTTGTAGTTTTTCATCCAGCATTCGCGTGTTACTTGGCTACTTGCTTTTTTGTCAGAACAGGATACGAAATGCGCTCTATAAACTTCGAACCGAACCGTATAAACATGATAAAGTCGACATCCGAGATACGAAAACATATTAAATGCGTAATTATTTTTTTCTTATTTCATTCAGGAAGAATGTGCATTAATATTAATTTTTTAAGAGATTTGTGTATCTAAATTAACGTAGTGATATTACAGATGCATGAATTATGGATGATTCGGTTAATCGTGTCGTTAATCGGATTATTTCCTGTTGAATGCATTTTAACTACAAAATATTAGAACATCGTTTAATTCTTTAGTTTGAATTTATTCAATATGTTTATTATTCTTTGTAATTTAGTTATCTTTTTCAATTTCAAAAGTTATGTTAGGTTTCGACATAAATAAACACCTGTAAATTTAAGCAGAATCGTGTAGATTTATCAGTGATATTACCCAAGCTGAACATTAAGCAATTAACGTCTCAAAGACGCCGAGGGGGCTTTGGATTCACCTACAAACACAGTCTATAGAATTAATTAAGCAGCGTGCAGTCAAAACATGGGTGTGAAAGGTGTGAATTTTTGACGACGTCGAGATACCCGGAGCCGTCCGTGCGTGACGAGCGACCCTATCTGACAAACAGTTAGGTTCAGTGGAGCAGAAAATTGCCGATGTCGACATATACCAGGTAAACTTTGCTCTTGGGACTGTGAATATACGTCGAGATAACCAGGGTTGTCGAGATTACCGAGGTCGACATATCAGAGTTTTTGCAAATCATTTATATAGTAAATACTGCCGGGACCGCGGACGGACGTCGACATATCCCAGGTTGTCGACATATCCGATGTCGAGATACCGAAGTTTACCTGTATATATGTATATGTCCCGTGTTGACTTCATTGCTGGGACTTAGCTACTGACTAAACTAAATTATTCTATTGTGTTTCACAATTGCCGAATCGCCGACAAGAGCGCTATTATAGTGTATGGTCCATTGGTAGAAAACCATGGACTCCAAAATGTTTTATTATTAAATGTATGAATAAATTGTTACTGTGTACCTGAGTAGTTCACTTGCTACGTTGAACTTGCGATGTTGAACTGGTAAAGCCACTTATTGCAATTCTATAATAGTTGTTGCTGGGTGGGCTAGGGGATGCAGCAGAAAAAAGAATTTAATTTTTATGCCCCCGTAAAGAAGATTCGGGGGTATATAGTTTTTGCCCTGTCTTTCCGTCCGCCTGTTTGTCCGCAAAAACTTTAACATTGCCCATAACTTTTGATTGATTGGGGCTATGGCTTTCATATTTCACATGTGTATCCCTAGTGACAAGGCGTTTCTTTGGGTACCACCATATTTGACTTTTGACCTTGGAGTTTGACCTAGTTTTACAAAATTTTACCCAACTTTAACCTTGGCCATAACTTTTGAACAGTTGGAGCTAGGGCTTTCATACTTCACATGTGTAATCTTCCTTTGGATACCAACAACTTTTTCCCTTTGACCTTGACCTTGGAGTTTGACCTACTTTTGAAAAACTTTAACATTGGCCATAACTTGTGAACCGTTGGAGCTAGGGCTTTCATACTTCACATATGTAATCCTTGTGACAAGACCTTCCTTTGGATACCAACAACTTTTACCCTTTGACCTTGAAGTTTGACCTACTTTTGGAAAACTTTAACGTTGGCAATAGCTTTTGAACAATTGGTGCTAGGGATTTCATACTTCACATATGTAATCCTTGTGATAAGACCTTTCTTTGGATACCAACAATTGTAATCCATTGACCTTGACCTTGGAGTTTGACCTACTTTTGGAAAACTTAAACCTTGGTCATAACTTTTGAACGATTGGTGCTTCAGGTTTCATATTTCATCAGTATGTTTCTTGTGAGAAGGCCTTTCCTTAGGCACCATTATTTTTTACCATTTGTCCTTGACCTTGATGTTTGACTTACTTTTGAAAAAACTTTAACCTTTTCCATATCTATTCAATGGTTGCTGCTAGGGCTCTCATATTTCACAGGTATATTCTTTGAGACAAGACCTTACTTTCAGTACCAACATATTTGATTTGCATTTGAGAAAGTTTAACCTTTGCTAGAAGTTGCCATACTGGGGCATCAGTGTTTCACAAACACATCTTGTTTTTTAATTTTTTTTTTTGATTTATTGAAAACTTTTTATGTACTAAGAAAGTATTAATGTTTTTAGATAAATTTATATTTACGAAATTTTTGTGGCCATGGTTTTATTTTAGAAGTCATACCATGTCCTATTTACGTATCGGAGTTCTACCGTACTAAGAACAAACAGACGAAGTTGAGTTTCAGATTTATTGCATGACATGGTAGCAATATTACAATCTTCTGTGCTAGATTCTGGTAGATTCAGACAATATAAACAAAATTTCTCCTATCAAACAACAACAACACTCAAGCAGAAGAAAAATTAAATGATGCACATTTTAACAAAACCTGAACTTCTGACCCCCCCCCCCCCCCCACACACACACACATAACTAGACAGGATGGAAAAAACAAAACTTGCACACACATATACATATCCGAACAATCGAAAAGCAAAATATTATAAACTTTCAAGTCAATAGACGTACGTGGTCATAGATTTCCATTTGCATGAGGAGACCAAAGGGGTGAGGCTGAACTGTGGTCTCAGCGATTCAAGGTCTTTGTAATCTGTTACTTCTATGAAAGTGGCGGATCGAAATGTGTTTGTAATCTGTTACCTCTTAAGAAAGTGGCGGATCGAAATGTTGGCTAAAGAAAAAGATGCAAAATTGCAAAACGATACTCTGTCCTCACTTTTTACAGTTTTTATTTGTGGAAAATGTTTTCTGTCTGTTGCACGCCATCGTATTGAAAAACAAAATTGTATAGTATATCTCAAAGTGCATCCAAAGTTGTATTGCAATACAGTCTTTGTTTTTAGCACAATATTAAGTTTATTGATTATTTTGAAAAATACGAGTGGAGACAATATAATCTCTGCCTTGTGATTGGTGATTTAATTGAGTGGATAGATAAACATGTGTATTATATTTTTATTAGCACTCTAATACATGCTTGTTTGTCGTGATGTTTTATTGAATTTGTCTTAGTACACCTGGTGTTGATCCTTGTAGATTCATTCTGCTAACAAGACCGTTATTCACGTTATTAAAAAAAAAAAAGTTACATAAGGTTTTTTTTTTGTTTTTTGTTTTTTTATAATATTACCAGAGACAGGTCTCTGATATTACGTAAGTCACAACTTTTTTTTCCTAAATGAACGACAAAATGAAAACGGTAATGAGAGAAATGGGAGTTAGGTGACGAAAATTCTGCAGATAGAACGAGAAGTCACATCGATTTTCGCGTGGGTTTCAAAAAAAAAAATATGAGAAAGTATAATCATTAACGAAAAGTTTTTAGGATTTTGTTAAAAATAAGTGAAAAAACATCCTGCCATCCAAATGAATCAATGACAACGAATTGTGAAAGGATGAATTAATTACCGGGTTCATTCCAGGTTCCGTTGTTTGTGCACGTATAGTAGGGTCGATAACTTTTAAAGAAGGACAAAGGCTGTCAGAAGCATTATTCTGTGGCAATGAAGCCTTTAAAAGTGAATTGTCAATTGCATGCCATTGCATGTAAAAGCGCACGCATCACATTTATCATGCAAGAATTCAAATTTTGGAAGTATTTATTGCTGATATTCAAAATTTCTTTAAAAATTGATTATAACTGTATATTTTTTACTTATAAATGTTAAAAATATAATTTGTTAATATTTTTAACCTATGAATAAAATCTCCAAGAAACAATACCCCCCCCCCCTTTCCGAGTAGATTTTGAACTCCTAGGTGAAACTTTCGTTATAAACTTGTGCATATTCTGTCCTGTTCTATATATGTTTTTTCATTAAGTATGCACATGTTATTTATTATTTAGTCACTTATTTTTAGACTTTTTTGTCAAAGAGATGAAGCGACATCCCTCTCCTATAAAGTTTTCATGTAGGTCAAACTCCAAGGTCAAGAGTTTAAAAATGTTACTACCCAAAGAAAGTTCTCGTCACAAGAAATACACATGTGATATATGAAAGCCCTAGCATCAACCATTCAGAAAATATGGTCAAGGTTAAATCATGCCAAGAAAAATCGTCCGATTTTCGACACTTGTAAACTCCTATATAGTGTCATTTACGCTAAATCATCGCCGCTAATCCCCCCCCCCCCCGCAAGATAGGCGTAAGACAATAGTATAATAGCATTCAGTTGAGCTTTAAGAGGGTAGATGGTTATTTCAAATAAGGCATACGAGGGAGACGGCATATTTTGAAAAAAATGATCATATTGACTTTATATGATTTCAATACCAAATGAATAAGGGTACTTAACTAGAACAGTTTAGAGTCCCCATCATTCATTTTCTTTTTTCTTTTGTGTTGTTTTGTTTGCTTGTTTTTATCACATTAAGATTTAAAAATGGTTAAAATTTAGAAAGTTGACAGAGGAAATTTGAACAGGAATATGTTAACAAGTTTATTGCTCAAACTTTTAATATAATGTATTTGTTTGTTTGTTTGTTTTGTTTTGTTATACTTAACAGATTATAGATCTTTAATTTCTTTATATTTCATAAACAAAAGAGGTTAATATACTTGCTATATATTGTAGTAAGTAATAAAACTCTTTCGTTTGTGAAATAAAATATTTTGCTAAGGGGACGACCACTTGATTCTGAAGTAGCGGGGAAGTATTTTTTTTTCGTGTCAAATTAACAAATTTATTTTCATATCATTGTAGGACAGATTATTTATTTTCAGGATGATCTAGGACAAATTATTTATTTTCTTCTTCACTGAAAAAAAGTTTGACAAAAAAGGGAAAACGCCCAGACTCCAAAACTCTTTTCATGGGGGAAGGGAGGGTAGTAGCACTAGTCACGACAGATTATTTATTTTCTTGCAACTCTAGGACAGATTATTTATTTCCCAAATCGCCCCCCTTTGAGAATCAAATGGTCGTCCCCAAGGAAGGATATAATTTTTTTTGAATGTTCACGGTTTTTTTTTTTTTTTTGGGGGGGGGGGGGGGTACTCAGAGCCACAAGCATGAAAAGTAGGTCATCAGGTCATTAACCTTAATATATGAAAGTGAAAAATAGGTGTACAGAAGCTTATCAGTGCCACATAATATTTTTTTAAGTTGAAAATGTTAACTTATATAGTCGGTAATTCCAACTTAAAGTTGGAAAAGCCAAGATTAAAGTTGGAATTACCAACTTTAAAGTCGGAAAAGCCAACTTTAAAGTTGGAATTACCAACTTTAAAGTTGGAAAAGCCAAGATTAATGTTGGAAAAGCCAATGTTTAGGTTGGAAAAGCCAACTTTAAAGTTAGAATTACAAACACTTTATTGTTGGAAAAACCAATATTAAAGTTGGAAAAGCCAACTTTAAATTTGGAAAAGCCAAGATTAAAGTTAGGTTGGAAAAATCCACTTTAAAAGTTGGAATTACCAACTTTAAAAAAATATTATGTGGCACTAATACGCCTTGTATACAATAGATATGTTTGGTCATATGAATAGATGTACATTCATAAGAAGGATAGTGCTTATGTTTTCTATGTATATAACTAAATTTTTAATGATAGACTGTGAAATTTTGATTATTGGCTAACAGCCCAGGCCCGAACAACCCGTATTCTCTGCAGAGAAATTGTCAGGCTCTCTAACCCCCCCCCCCCAACACACATACCTTCCCACAAGCCAGAGAGAGTTTTAAAAAATCCTGTATAAAATCCGTACACACAAACTAATGATACTTGAAAGATAAATTGTCTTATTAATCTGATCAAAGATGAATATGTACAAAATGATAATTCGAATGAAACATGAACGATTGTACATCAATATTAAACTGGTTCCCATTATTTATATAGACTGGTTGTCGCTGAGTTCACTTGGACTATATAAGTTCATTGACTACACACAACCTTGATAGTGTCAACAACATCGATTCAGACCATAGCTACGATGGCTATGCTGCCACTCTGGTCATATGTGTAAGTTCTCTTGGATGATAAGGATTAAGACGCAATGCCGGAAAAACCACTCTCATACAGGAAAACCTTGCAGATGAGAAAAAACTTTGTAGGGTAAGTTCGTGTTCACATAAACTTTTCCCCCAAAGTTTATCAATGTGTTCAGCTTGTTACAATGCTTCAGATCGGATACATATGACGTCAAAATCGGAAATGACATAGAGCATGTATGCACTCGCTCTCCTTTGGCCCCGTCTCCGTCAGTATGTGTCCACTTCCGGTCATTTGTTTTTGTTATGAAACTTCTGAATTTGGCGTAATTCATCAACTTCATTAGGAAACTAAGGGAACAAAGGGCAGCAAATATGTTAATGACTCAAATTAGTTACAAGTAAGTAAAAAAAATATATATATGTAGACAGGTACTCCCCAGCTTAACTTGTAACTAAAAATTAATTTATCGGAATGATGAGTACTCTAGTATAATACTTATTTTGTTTAATTTACAAATTATGCAGGGGAGTGTGTTTTATTTCTGCTGTGCCGCATCGAATGCTATATACATTGAACAATGAATTGAACAGTTTAACTTAATCGTCTTTTTTTTTTATTAATAAGTGTAGAAACCCATAGCATACTGTATATCAGATGTATGATAAAATGTTGACAGTGCAACCCTTGGGTGAGCACACTTGTGCATTATTGGATAGCCTAGATAAGATATAAGATTTTTTCCCCAGAAAATATCATGATAGTATCTATTTTTACATGTTTATTTATATTTTAATAATGCATGTTCGGATGCTGTTGTTTTCCAGCATTTTTTACAATTCCGGTAATAGTAATTTGAATCAAAAGTTAAAAAAAAAAAATTAACAATTTCCAGAATTTATCATTTGGTATTATTCAGAGAACGAGACAGGTACTGTATTGTAGATACAAATTTGGGGGTGGACGAGTGTGTAGCACGAGTCTCCACCCCCAAATTTGTATCTACGATACAGAACCTGTCGAGTTCTCTAAATGATTTGTGACACGATCAATAAAAAAAAGCACCACCCACTTCATAGCTGTGCAGCATCCAGACTTCCGCCAAGTTCGTTTGTGCTCTCTGTAGATGAGGCCTTGACGGGGAGTATACATCCGCAGTATATATATATTTCCACGGACAACGTAAGAGTTAGTCAGATTAGTTTTGACAACGGGGTAGACATAACAGACTTGAAGTCAGTCTTAATTGATAAGGTAGACGATTTAACCTTGTTGTAGATGGAGATTGATCCAATTTATTTCAGGGGTCTTAAAATCTGTTAAACTAGATACACATACAGGCGATACAGACAGTTTTTCGATGGACTTTGATTTTACTTTGATTTTTATTTTCTTATTGAAATGCGACATAAAAAACGAAGTGAAAGAGATGTGCGGCAGTCGTCAGCGATAAGGATTTAAGATGAAATAAAAAACAACCTGAAAAATGGACTTGATTGAGTTTGCACGAGAAGAGTGGAAAATGGGGGAGGGGGAGTGTGAATTTCACGTAATGTATGCTGCATCCGCGAACTCATTGGCTTTACTATTTTGAAGGGGACACAAAAAGCAGGGAAGCAAACAAGTTTTCAGGAATTTATCCAACATAGGATGTTTTCCATAATTGCGAATTTTCCTTTTCGTTTGGATCGAAATAATGTGTAGATTCTGTGTGGAGTAATTTTTTAAAAGTGATTGAGAAATTTTGACATTTTACATTCCTAAGGAAATATTTCTTCAAAATTTATATTAGGAAAAAAATCAGCATTTACTATTTGTACGTGCTTTTCATAAATTGAATCAGATTTATTTTTAGACCGTGCTGTATTTTAGATACAGAACAGTTGGCTAATACAAGACAATATACAGGGCTAATACGGAACGGAAAGTAGCTCCGCCCACTGTATTCCCGTTCTGTATTGCTAATACAGAACAGCAAACTTCAAAGAAAAACACCACAATCGTGTCACAAATAATAAATACTGGTATTTTGGTCTCTGTATCACAATATGTATTGCGCAATGAAATATCACATCATACCAGTACTAATAAAATTACACATCCCAATAGTTGCATATTCTCATAACTGAAATGTGCAATTTTTTAAACAAAGAACACTACTCAAGCCTGTTACAGTAATGAATAAGTGTTGTGCACACGATATGGTCCATTCATCCTATATATCTTTTTTGCCCTGGGGATTCCTGGAAGCGCAATTGTGTACTTATTACTATATACATACCATTAGAAACCTTTATATACACTTTTAACTGAGATCCGTCCCTTCAATCTGCACAGTAAAACTGTGATGTCACAAACACAAACACTCATCAAAACTAGTGAACAAAAAAAAGAATAAGTATAAATTATGTTGATTTTTATTTAACTCAATATTCAATGTTTCAATAAGAAATATTATGTGCCAAGCCAAAGATAGAAAAACAAGAAAATGGAAAAATAGATAAAGGACATGGCCGTAGGAACCGGGGGAGGGGGGGCATGAGGGGCCGTACCCCCCCCCCCCAGTAAATTTGCTGACATATAGATTACTATAGAAAACATAGTTACTGCCCCTTCTGCCCCTCAATAAAAAACATCTAATGACCTTTTTTTTGGCTTGTCAACTGAAAATGTATGGCTGTGCCCCCAAAACTGAAATTCCCACGGGCCTGAGGATGTGCCCTTTTTTGGTTTCAATTTCTACTTTGCTAATCTGAATATATATGTATAAGGTTTAAAAAGGGAGTTCAAGGATAAGAATTTTCTCAAGATGACACATCAGATGTGTGAATAAATTTTTATTATGATGTAAACTATAGAGTAGACTAAATTCTTCTCTGTTGCAAGAATCACTTCTGTCATAATATTGGTATGTCAGGTGGTATTGTTTTCTTCACAAAATGTGAATATGGATTAAAATGAACAGTCATGAGAATATATATATATATATATATATATATATATAATAATATATATATATATATATATATATATATATATATATATATATATATATATATATATATATATGTATATATTCACATAAAATAATGGTCAAAGCCATTTTTGAGGACAATGAGACCACAGCCCCTTTCCCTGTGATGAGCAGCATCAAACAAGGCAGGTTTCTTGTTCCTTGTGGTGATAGACTGAATGATGCAACAGACGGTCGGAAAAGAGAGAATAGGAATTTGATAAGACTTCACCACTATGCTTGAAGACCTCGACTTTGTGGACCACACTGCCCTACTGTCATCAACAATGACCCATCCTCAGTTCAAGATGACAAAACTGGAAGACAACTTAGCAAAAGTTGGGATGAAGCTTAATGCCAAGAAGTGTAAAGTGATGAAGATAAACAGCAAGAGTGAATCCAGCCTGATAACAGCCAAGCCGCAGAGGTGGACAGCTTCACTTATCTTGGTGCCAATGTTACAAAGACGACGGAGGTACTGCTGACACCAGAAAAAGGATAGCTTTGGCTGGCACATCCTTCAGGAGGCTAGCCAACATCTGGAAGGCCACAGACATCAGTAGAAAGATTCAAGTCTCCCTCTTCTAGAGTGTGGTCCTCTCCATATTGTTATATGGATGTGAGACTTGGAAGCCTACCAAGACAGAGGAAAAGTGGATTGATATCTTTCAGAACAAGTGTCTCAGAAGGATTCTCAAGGTCAGATGGCAACAAGACAGTTCTGGAGATGACAGGAGCAGAAAACATCAGTGGCGAGGTGAGGAGGAGGAGATGGAATTGGATCAACCATGTGCTGAGAAAGGATCCAACGGATGACTGTGTCATGGCCCTCAGGTGGATGCCTGATAAGAGAAGGAAGTGAGGCCGTCTGAATGCAACATGGAGGTGGATAGTGGAGGTGGAGTGGAACGATACAGGCTGGACCTCTTGGAACACGGCACGCCATGCAGCCTCAGACTGGCCCCAGTGGAAGAGAGATGTTCATGCCTTGTGTGCCTTCTGGCATGGAGAGAATTAAGGTTATATTCCTGTAATTCCTTTTTCCTCTCCTTAAATATTTTATTGTTATAGTTTCAATTTTGAGTCATGAATATCCACCTGGGTAGTGCAGTTGGTAGAAGACCTGATTAGTGATGCAGGGTCCTGGGTTTGATTGGCCATCCAGTGTCCAGCCATATATTTTCTTCTTTCCTGTTACATAATATGGTGCTGCTGACCACCCCTGGTCTTGCAGGTGAAAGTCCTGCCAGGAGCAAATAAGAACTTATGTTGTATCTTCGAGGGCAAAGACAATTTAAGGAGGAAGGAATGTGATAGTTTGAGATGTGGATATCAGCCGGGATAGCTTAGTTGAAAGACTAAGAGCACCTGACTAGTGATGCAGGGATTGCAGGATTCCTGGTCCAGCCATACATTTTCTCCTTTCCTGTTACAATCTGAAGATATGCACCTGTCAAATCAGTATCTAAATAGGATTTGTATCTTAGTCTTGTAGCTCACGATGAAGACATTCTATGGAGCTGTAAATTCTTCTGAGATGTCTTCAACAAAATTATTTTTAGTGCTACAAATTCAACAAACAAATAAAGAAAAGAAACTTAAACTGAGATAGAGAGAGTCTACCAAAGAACTACAATAACAGGGATGGAGAAACTCTAAAAATGCACTCTACAACGAATTTCAAAATTGAAAAAAGATCACTTTCACTCCAGGGCTTTCAAAAAGATAAGAAACAAGTGGTACTTTTATAAAAATAGGAATTACTTTGTGGAAGTGATTTCAATTAAATATGTTTTAAAATTTTTCTCCAATGAATATTTTGGTTGGTACAATCATGATTTCAGTTGGGTAAAAGTACCAGGTACTGGCAGATTCTGAAGGACCTGCTCACTTACATGTATTTGATGGTTATGTGAAGGGGGAGGGGGGCATAGTTTTTTAGCAACAGAATTTCAAAAGAAGAATTTTCTATAACATGTCAGTAGGTAAGAGATTGGAGTCTCAGAAATTAACAGTGTCATTAAGGCATGCTATCACAAAAGAGGCATAGAAAACTTCTGAATTCTAAGATGATCAAAAAGAGAGACTTCTTCACAATGTCAAGGTTTCT